TTAAATAAAAGGAAGCAAACCTGCAATGAACAAGACCCCGTACTTGAAGGCAGGCTCCCAGCCTGTGCCTCTGTCTGTCCCATTGTCGGTTACAGAATTCTCAGAGAGTGCACAGGGTTTATGGACAAAGCAGAAATTGAGGATTTGTTTAATTAGAGATGTCATTATAAAAGCACTTACTAATCTCTGCTGCCATTCTGTTCTAAAATTGCAGTGTAATCAGCTGGCACCTTTACCCTCCTTACTGCTAGTTTTGTGTATAACTGGCTATAGCAAAAGAAAAAAAATCAACAGGGCATAGCAAGGAAAATGATGCATTATTTAGAAAATAGCAAATTATGCCTTACAGGGAAGAAGAAATGGAAATAGAGAAATCATCTCTCTGATGGAGCCAACAGGGATTACTTTTTTTTTGTTAAGTTGCACTCATAGAAGATTGAGGGTGTAGTCTGTGGTGTATCCATCAAGCTGTACCATTAAGTTTAGACAAACCAAATGAATTAAAACACAGTTCACATCTGACCAGGAAATAGTAAGAGTATCTTGTCAGCATCTCCACATTTAAATATGCCTAAATGGCCAGGTCTCACATACTAGTTTTCAATTCAAGTGGTCTTTTACTTCACTAGAATTTCTGGGACTGAATTTAGTAAGATTTTATTTGAACTATGTTAAATTATCAAATGAAGCTCTTTCTTGTTGCAGCTGTCCATTTAAATATTTTGTGAAAAGGAAAAGACTTTACAAATAATACAGAAGAATAATAATTTAAATCAAAGCTGAGTACTGTGGCAGTAATAGTCTTCTTGATAAGCTGCAAAATACACATGTGATTTATCTGTAACTATATTTCACAGTGTAATAAACTATACTTCAGGCTTTGCCACATCAAAAGATTTCCAATGACAAAGTTTAACAGACCAAAAGAATAACAACCATTTACATGCATGAAAATAAGTGCTAGCACTGTGGAGTACAAGTTAGGGTAAAAATTAAGATAGTGGCCTGTAACACAGGTAACTGAAGTGCTAAGCTCCAGCACGTTATTTTGATAGGTTTCAGGCCTATTTCAACCACAGAAACCTGAAAGACTCATCAATGTTTTTGGAAAAGAGAGAGAAACTCCAGAAGGTACTTTATTTTGCTTATCTTCCTGGGGTAACTAAATAGAGATCATTACATCTTTAAGCCACTTGCTACTGGATCAGAACTTACACATCTGGAGGCATTCAGTTAAGGAAGCAGTTATTATACCGTTGTTTGAAGAATGATCTAAAATGTCTCTAGATGACAGCAGATTATAATACTGTTTTCATTATTTTTTTTTATTTAGAAAACAGAGTAAGACGGATATATACACATTTTCACAATACAGGAAGGAAACAAGAGTGCTCTACAGCTAGAAAGAGAAGTATAAGCTAGTTTTATGCAGACTGTTTATACGATAAAGCAGTGAAAGCTTTTCTGATGTTGGCAACAAATGCAGGAAAATTGTTAGTTTCTCTCACTTTGAGCTGGAACTCTGCTATACAGTCCAGAGTAGGAGTACAGGAAGTCACTAAAATGACAAAAATTTCCAAAAGATGAGACTTATTAAAAAAAATAATATTAGTGTTTTCCTATGCTTCTGAAATACTAATCTAGTTTATTATCTTTTTATGTTTGAGCTTCCACAAGTATTATTTTTGAGTAGCCTCATTTTCTGTCAGCAAGGACAAAGCCTCAAAAAACACAACAGGTTTTTTGATTTCCTGATTTCCCACTCAGTGCTGTGCTCCTACTTGAATTGTTACAGCAATTCCAAGTAATCCGTAGCCTGGTCAAAAAGTGGAACACATTCCTAAATAGTTTTGTTGCTCTGCCAGCAGGCAGATTGTAAACTGATGTAACCCAGTATGTGATGTACTTTTAACTTCAAAATTTTAAATTTGAATTAGTAAAACCAGAAATCTATTCAGTCCATACCTAAAAGCCCCAATAGCATCTATCTAGACGCTCTGCAGCACAGCACTTAAATTCTTCATAACTGAAGTAAGATCCATATTGCAAATCCAGCTTTAAGATCTGAAATGCTGTATCCTTACAGAAGGGGATTGCTGGATTTCAAGTTTTATTCTTTCACCTATGTCACCCTGTAAGGGTTTCTCTGCCCTCTAGGCTTCTCAAATGAAGTTGAAATATGCCTGTCAGCACAGACACTGACTCTAGCATAAACAAACTACAAAATGAAGCATCCTTATCTCTGTATATCCTCTTTCTCCCGCTTTGCTTGATGAGAAGTAAACAGCATCTCCAAAATGGAGAGTGAAGATAAGCAGTTATATTTTCATGTAAGTTAACAAGACAAACATAATTAAAGAAACTGTATTACCATTGCAATATTTTTCACTCAAAAATTGGAAGATAAAGGTTACAACTAAACTGCACTTTGCTCCTCTCCACTTTTTTCAAATAGAGGCATCAGATTCAGTCCTCTTGTGTAAGTATTCAAAATTCACATACCTTCATAATCTCCTTGTCCATTTATGGAAAGGGTAAACATGTATGGCTTGTCAGGATCTTTGTGGTCAATGTGTCTGAATATAAACTGTAATTGTTCATCTAAAATAAACACAAGCAGAATTAATTAACACCATTAACCTCTGCTGGAGAGTCACAATAACTAAAAATCACAATATGAAGTTAGTTTCAATTAATATTCTTAGAACACTTACAAATTAGGGAACCCTGGTCTCTTTGAAAGACAAATGCATTTTAACATATTTTGCCATTTGAGAAACAATGGTAATGCCTGGGCTCAGACAATTCATCAGGTGTGTATGCTGGTTCTTCACTGCACAATCCAGCATTGACCACATTGGATCAGTGCACACAGGAACTACAGAAACTACAGCAACTTACTGTGAATTCTGCGTATCTCCAATCCAAGACACTCCTCAAACAACACTTTAGACTTGCACAGTCGTTCCATTTTCTCTTTGACAGCTTTGTCTTTAGAAGACATTACTAGAATTTTAAAATCCACCGTAAGTATCAAAGGCAAAACAAGCACATGAAAAAATATTTAGAACAGTAGAAAAGCCCTAAAGAACAAGTGTTGAAAACAACTCCTTCTTCAATTAAAAAAATTTCCTTATTATCCGTTGCTTACTTACTTTCCATTTGCTTCACCAACTCTTCTTTTAACTCTTGGATGCTGTCAGTCAAGTTCTTCTGTTGCTCTTCTTCTTGATTTAGCTTAATTTCTGCCAACTGCTCTTCCTTTTCTGATATACATTTGCTCTGCTGGAGAATCTCTGAAAGGAAGCAAGAAAATATGAACACATACAGTTGATTAAGTAGGCCCCTGCTATTTAATACTTAGTAATTTGAGATGATTTATTTGAATAAAATGTAGTGAAATGCATGCTATCTCAGCTGCAAAGAGAAGTCAGCATAATTACACTAAGACTATCAAACAAAGTTTAGAGCGAAAGTTACGCCAAAGAGAAGCTACAAAGTAGGGACTGTGATACTTCAATCAGATGTGATGTTTTCTGGTGCCAGCACTGTATACATCTTCATAGCCTGAAGATGGTGGATCCTCTCCACAAATAATTTGACAGAAAGCGAAGAATGGACACACTGACTGATATTAGAGTTGCAATAATATTTACCTGATATTGTGAAGTTTAACTACAAAATTCAGAGAAGTTGACCCTGAACTGATAAGCTGACAGTGTTCTCTTACTAATATGGAAAAGGCATAAGTAACCTCACAATATTTAACTTTACTAAGCAATTTAATTTACTTTTTCTATTGAATTCAGCAAGTTTTGGTACTTTGTTGTTTTAAATACTTAAGCCCAAAATCACTATGCAGAAAACTGACTTATCTTTTTGCACTATCAATGAAGTTTTTCAACAAATTTCTTTTGAATTGAAATTTACATCCTGTAACCAACCAAATATGTTTGGTTTTAATTCTATCTTGATTCTGATGTTATTATTTAGCTTTTAAAATGTGAAGTTAAATATACTATTCAGCTGTATTTAGGCAATTTTAGAAATGTTAGACAAATAAAACACCATACTGTACCATTGTTATACTCCTGAATTTTGTCAATCATCAGGTCTCCTTCTTTCAGCTTCTTGGACCATTTTGCTGTAATGGAAAGTTACTTCAGTTACCTGAAGAAGTTTGATGATAATTTGCAAAACGTAGACGTAAAAGGAACATAGAGTCTTTTTACCTGAAAGCACTTCTATAGACCCCTTGCACGAATCTCTCAGTGTTAAAGTCTGATTGATCTGTTCAGTGCCATAAACGCTTTTAAACTCGATCCAAAACTCTTTCATATCTCTTTCAAAGAGCGTTATTTCATCTTCTGTCTTTGCATTAGCCATGATACTGAAAGACACCTGTCAGTGAACAGACACAGCGTCAGGACACGGGAGGCAGTGCCAGTGGGTGTAACTCACGGAATAAACCCTCGGAGCTGCTTTGGTCCCCTCGCCTTGTTGTTGAAACCTCTTCCCGCAAGTTGTTTTTTTTTGTCACCACTGGCTCAGCGGGAGCCACGTTCCCCTCGCTCCTCTCCCGGCGCTCAGATTCTGTGCTAGGGGATGCCCCGCCAGGGTTCTGGCGGCACCGCGGCCGCTGCAGCCGGGGTGCCCCTGCCTCTTCGCCGTCCCCCCGCGAGGTGGCACCGGGGCCGGGGCCGGCTCCCCACGCCAGCAGCCCGGGCCGGGGATCGGGCTGGGCGCTCCCTCACTCTGGCCCCACCGAGCCCCGCTCCCGCCCGAACCCACCGCGTTCAAACCGCGCCGCCTTCCCGCCGCCAACGGCCCGCGCGGCCCGCCCCGCAACAACAGCGCCGCTCATTGGCCCAGCCCCGCCGGGACCCGCCCACGCCGTTGCTGCGGTAACGCCTCGCGCGCGGGGCGGGGCCGCCGTGAGGGGTGGTGCGGGGAGCGGGGAGCTGCCGCGGGCCTTGCCCGGGGAAAGACGGTGTGGATAAACGCGTTTCCTGAGAGCCCGCTAAGGGCGCTGCGGCCGGGTTGCCCGCAGGGCCGAGGCGGGGGAACAGCCTGCTCCGTACTGAACAAACCAGGCTCGCTCTGGGGAGCGGGACGGTTCCCTTTCGCTCCTCTGAAGCCGCAGGTTGTTTCCAGTGTCTGTTTGACTCACAGAACATGGTCCTAAGTTTTGTGAGGCTTCTGAATTGCCTTTTAATTCCCCAGGCCTGAATTCTCTCGAGTGTGATAACAATTTACCCCTTAAGGTAGATCGCTGTGAGAGGAGAGCGGCCCGCACCTCTTCGATGTGAACAAACCCACCACACAGTAGCCCTGCCCGCACCCAGTCAAACACTTGCATAAGCCTCTGTCATAGCGAATGTGCTCCTTATGACACCGTGCCTGGTTTTTCTCCAGTTCTTTATATTCCCTTTTGGCTCTTGATAAGCGCTAGTTTGTGATCCCAGGTAGCAGCCTTCAGTTTATCATAAAAGCTACTTTTGGTCATTTTGTTACCACAGCTAATTATTTTCTCCTAGCTTTACTTTTTGCCGGTGCTATTTAGATAGTCTCAGACTAGTGTAAACTTATTAAAGTGTTGAGAATTGCTCTGAAAGAATTAATTACTGCCTTCCCCCCACCGTACCCAAAGCAAAGGCTGAGGTGAGACAACCATTAGTTGTGTTACTCTTGTATAAACTTGTATAAGCAGTTCTATCCCATTGTATGCCTGTCTCACTTGACTTGAACACCTCTTCTCTAGATTTCACAGTTTTCCTCAGCATTAGTCCTAAAACTAATAGACCTCTGTTTCATATCTGCTTTACACTTAAATGTAGTGAAGTTGGGCTGTTTCAAGAATGATTGCGTAGCCAAGTATAAATCTGGGAGAAGGAAGGGAAAGGAAAGAGCTTCTTGAAATATTCTTCTCTTCCTAATTAAAAAATTAAGGTGTATCTTCTCAGTGTTCCACTTGGAAAATATTTATACCTAGGAAAATAGCTGTCAGCTGTTGTATATAGTGTCTGCTGGTGAATTTAGTAAATTGCTTGTTAATCCTTGTAGCTGGTCTAGTGCCAATGGAAACACTGATTGAACTATTGTTCAATTAACTAAGCATAATGTACCAGAAAGTTAGGCCCAGCACATAGGCCTCCATTAACAGATTTCAAAGAATGTTTGCTTTGATGGCTTTTCCTTCTCTTGCAAACATTTACTTAACAACATCTGATAACAGTTATGTAATATTTGCTCTAATATGTAGGTGCAAGGGAGCTGTAAACATTTTATCCTCCCTCCAATGGATCATCAGCAGGATTCTTGTTTCTACGTTATTACCAAGAATATATAAAGTCTCTAGTTTTGTATGTCTTGGAAAATAAAATAAATTGAGAAATTATCAATAAATTAAAAACTCTTTATATGAACAGATGGCATTTTAAAGCTTTTTGCTTTGTACTAGGAACTAATTTGATCATGACAAGGCCAAACCTTGGTTCTACAATATCAAAACAGGACAAAAAAGGTAATTGCATACACTTTCTGACCATTTTGTATAGATCACTAGTTTTCCTTGCAGTTCCACATGCTAAACTACAGCAAATAGTTTTATTTCGTATATTATCTCAAGTGACTTCCAAGTACTAAGTGCATTACAGAAGCATTTTGCAGGTCTTTGCATAGAAAATGACCAGGGGAAAGTTTATGAAGGAAATATTTCTCCTTTGTTAGTTTAAACAAGTTATTAAATACAGTATTTCAAGACATGTTTTGCCATCTTTTCCGGTTATTAGTGCTTGGAAAGTCTTTAGTGTCTCAGACTTTCATTGGTTGTGAAGTACTACAGGCAGGACAAGAGATGACTGGCATGTCAGTTGTTGATTGCCTCTTAGATGGAGCAGGATCATGAGTGCTTCCAGGTACAATGAAAACTGTGTCTCTCACAGAAACCTGCTTACCTATTCCAAAAACTCCTTGCTTTCTGTCTTGCAGATTGTGGATTTGTTGCGGTTTTTTAAACATCCTTTATAAACATGACTCCTCTGGTATCTCTAAGCTGAGAATGCAAGAGCTTCTGAAACTCTCAGAAAGAACATAGGAGAAAATGAAAGCTTTATAATGTTTGCTGTTAGCTGTTAGTCTTCATTAGGTCTAAGGTGTTCATCTTCTACCTAAGCAGAAAGATAATCAGCAGGATAAGAATCAGCAGGAAAATCGCAAAAACTATTATCAGGAGGCCTTCAACATGTAGACTAAAAAAGGTTACTTTACTGAAACAAGGCCAGGATATAACTTCAAACATTATATTGACAAAGTTTCTGGAGAACCAAAGTGTGCCTGAGTGGTTCTGTCTGAAGAAGAGTTCAGCCTGAGCAGATGCATCATATCCCAGTGGATAGATAACATGGGTGGGTGGGTTTGTATTTGTAAATAAAGCAAACATGCAAAAAGTTATTGCAATGGTTCTGCACATCCTGTGTCAGAGAGGTAACTTTTCTGATACTATTGAGTAACAGTGGCGCCATTAAAGAGGGACCATAAAGGGCTGGTTATTACTTGGTAGACACTCTTTAAAGGACATTAAATTGTATCTTGATGGAAACTGACTGACTTACTGCAAAATATTTTTTCTTATAGAACAATAGTTATTTCGACTTAGTTAATCCAGCAACTATGATGAGGTTAAGTACTAAAAGAAAGATTGTTGTTTTTTATCTACCAACTGACTTGACATTTACACTCATGTTTAAAGCTAATTATTGTTTCTAAACTAGATTGAAAAAGAGAGGAAAAACTTAGATTCTCCACAGTTTTCTATGCTAACCCCAGACATGTATAAAAGAGTGATTTTTATTGTTGTTATTGTAAGTCTTACTTGTCTTTAAAGGCAAGATACTTTTGCAGTAAAAAAATGTAGCCAAAGGACATTTTCTTTAGTAATAAGGTATAAAGAGTTATTTACGAGAGATATTTCTAAACAAGTACAATCTTGGAAAAGAACTGGGAGAGGGAAAATTAATTCCATCTGTTCTTTTATATGACAGTTGTTTTGCTGTACACTGTGAAAAGCAATAAGCTATACGGGTTAGCAAGAAACAAACCTCCTCAAATATTTTCAGCTAAAAAGCTAGGAAATATTTATTGTTGAAATATCCTTAAATTTTGCTTTTGGAATAGTTTTCCTTGAAATCAGATGATACCAGTTGAAGTGAGTAATTCAGTCAATGTAGAGAAAAATACTGTAGTTATTCAGAAACAGCGCATAGAATTTTAAATCTGTTTTTAACTTTAAGGTTTTCTATTAAGCTCAATGCAACTGGTAGCAATAAACATATAGGATTTAAAACTGCTAAAAAGTTTCTAAAACCAGACTATTAATAGGTAAAGTAAATGGGAGTAAAGTAAATGTGAGATTGTGTCAGCAGGAGAGGTCTTCTAAGTCCATTTAATTGTCATGCCTTATTTGTTGAACCTACTTGATGTTTCCATGTGACTTCCCTGAGGACACATCATAAAGCCCTGGTAAGCCATTAAGTCCCTCTTCAGCACAACCAGTTAAGTAGTTCATATCTTTGTCTCCACAACTTCTGCAGTTTAACTTGAAGTGCGATGGAGAGAGCAGTAGGGGAAGTGTGCAGTGCATATATAGAGCTGCTTTGTCTTCAGATTCTAATTGTTTCAAATACATAGATAATCTTCAATAGAAGATATGAATATATCTGGAATATATTCACATCTGGAATATATCTGGAATATTAGAGCCTGATAAAGAGCTTGAAATTTTCCTCTTGCTGCTCTGATAATATCAGAAGATGGTATCATCAGGCTTTTAGTATCCATTTAATATCTAGCGGAAAAAGTTTTTTCATCTAACCACCTCACAAATTAACATAATCTTTTCCTGTTCTTCACTTATTAGTACTAATATTGATAAATCTGATGTGCTAATATATTATCTGTTGTAATCTTTTAAAATCCTGCTATGTGGCAGAATCTGTTTCCTCTTGGCTGTTTGCCCTGGAGAACCAATGCGCTTTGCTTGGGAATACTTCAGGAAAATGCTCATAATCATCTATTCCCAACCTTGCTCTGTTTTGCAAAGCAGGTCTCATTTCTGCAGGGCTGGGCAGTCAGAAGTGGGGCTGCAGCTCCTTCTGGAAAAGCTGTGTAGGGCTTGCATCATGTAAGCAATGCACAAGAATGGTGGTACCAAATGATGACTCGGAGACTAAGCTTCATCTGCATTGTGCCCTGGATTAGCAGGCCTCTAGTGTGAAGGAAACAATTGTTTTTCAGCGTTTTAAGAATATTGCTGCTTTAAAAATATATCTATAGCTCAACAGCCTCGTTGACGTATGGATTCTGGTTGTATTTTCTGTGACTGAAAAATGTGTTGTCAAAGTATTAGTAGCAGCATGGTAGCCAAGTTCTATTTCAAAGTGAAATGTACAGCTTTAATGACAGTTCTGCAAAGATCAGTTATTTGTGTATTCTTTCTATCCTTTACACAGGCAAGACTTAATGAAGTACACACATTACTAATGTCCATCCTGCAGAGAAATGAACTGTGAAAAAATTTAAGCAAACATGTTCCAACTGTTCATACAAAGGATTACATAAGTCATACATTGTGTTTCCACAAAACTTTCCCCACAATTTGCTGCTGCTCAGCATGTACTTCACTTAGCTTCCTCTAATTAAAATTTGCAAACAGAAAAGCTTTCCAGGGCTAAGAGACTCATGTGCTTTCCCGGAGTTTTGGAGCCACGTGTTTCAAGAATGGCTGGGTACACCACACCAATATAATATAAAGGCAACGTCAATCACCTTCTCTCACTTTTTAATAGCTCACCTCCATGGGTCTCATTCTCTGTTACTAGAAACTTAAGATTTAAGGAACTTTACTATATTTCAAGTACAGTTTAATCCATTAAGATGGATCTCCTTCATAGCAATGGCGTGCTTATCATTCAGCATTTACAGAGGGACTACAGGGCTTACCAGGATTTCCTTAATTTTATGTCACATGTTGGTGATCCGCGGAATATATTCTCAATTTATTTTCCTCTTTGGTTTCAGCTCAACCAAGTGGTTGGTACTAAAATGATATGGGTGGCAGTCATTGGTGATTGGTTCAACCTCATATTTAAATGGTAAGAAGTTGGATTTATTTTAAAATTTGGTATTTTTAATGATAGTTACTATATGTGCCTCAAGGTTAGAAAACTTTCTGTGAATAATGTACTAGTAGACTTTCCCCCGTTATTATAAAAGAGGAATTCACAATGCAGATATTTAAGATATGTTTGAAATGACATCGTGGTAAGATGAGAAAAACCCGTAGAACTATTATAGAATAGTTTTGGCAATATAGCTCTTCATATTCTTTATAGGATTATCATGTTTTGCTGAGGCCTTCTTACATAAAAATATTTTCATTGAGTTTCTGCTTTATTTTATTTTATATTTTGTCAGGATTTTATTTGGCCATCGCCCATACTGGTGGGTGCAAGAAACAATGATTTATCCTAATCAATCAAGCCCATGCCTTGAACAGTTTCCTATAACGTGTGAAACTGGACCAGGTAAGAAATGTTGGAGATTACATTGGTACATTTAATAGGGATAGTGGCTTTGAGGGAGAGAGGATGTGACTTATGAAGGTCTTATATAATATACAAACCTCAGAGTTCATATATAAAATAGCACCAAAAAATAAGCAGAAAAAAAGGAAGAAATACAATGTAACTTATGTTTGATTGCTATATGACAAAATGTTTACTTCATTGCCTTTAAATAGTCCAAGGGAGGGGGATTTACTTTAAAAATAACTACTAGTAGAATGAACCAGCATATTGGAAAGGAATTTTCACAAAACTTGTGAAATACATTGTTTAATATGTTCCAAAACAGAGCACAGGGCTGTTGAGTTTGAGGGCCAGTGCACTATTGCAAGAAATATTCAAACCCCAAAAACTAGTAGGTGGTTCAGTGTAAATAACAATAGTATCAATAATTGTTGATGTAATGTATCATGAGTGGAAAAGGTAACCCCTCTTCCCAGAACCAGACACTGACACTGAATGTTTATGTATACAAATATATGGGGGAAAATTATTTTAAAAATGTACTTTCTCTATGTATTTTCACTTTTTTATGTCTCATTGTCTTTTCTGCGGAACTCAAATGCAATACTCCTGAAGTCAAATGAACTTGTGCAACTTATTGTGAAATAAGATGAATTTGCTTTGAGCCGACTGACTGAATTTAGTTTAATTCATTGTGCGAGAAAATACTGACTGTGGAAATTAATGCGCTTTGCACCTCATCAATGCCACTGCAAGCTTTAAAGCAGTTTGCATAGCAAATTTGTTAACAATATCCTCCACTGCGTTCCATTGTAATTGTGAACAAGAAGTTTAAGCCCTTTTATGAGGCAGGGTTAAATAATGGCTGGTCTATATGTGATCTGCAGTCTCCTTCAAGTGAATTCATTTGGGACCTAACCCCAAGTATTAACGTACTTCAGATTTTTTCAAAAGCCTTCAGAACTGAGCCCTTTCGGTACCATGTAGTTCCAAGCCCTGGCTAAGGAGCCAGTCAGAGTGTTTCATTCTATTCATTGAACCAGAAGGTCTTTCTTCTTGTTACTTTCTTCCTGAAGTAACAAGTCATTCCTATTTCTGTCCAGTGGATACAACTGTCATATTGATTCCGTCTTTGCACTTACAACGACCACATTTTCCCCACCTCCAGATTTGCCCTGAACCATTGACAATATCTGTCACTGACCTGCTCCTCATTAACAAGAGGAGGTGCAGTCAGTGCAGCTGTTAAGCGCACACAGTCATTGCATGAGCTTACATGGTACTTTGCACACTTTTAAAATATGCAAGTTATATTAGAAGAGTAGAGGAGCAGCCACAGACATGAGAAAAGCAGATCCAAATATTGCTAGGATAGCCTGAACCACAGCTCAGCAAGAGGGAAAGCTGTGGGAACTGTTTATATTACTACATGGCAAGCAGTCTAGGACTTGAATTTGGTTTGTACTTCTGGAATTAGCTGAACTAAAACCCTACTGCCATTTTTTTAAGGCTTTAAGAACATAAACCTTAAAGTGGAGCTTATGCTGTTTCTAGTAGGTAATTTGCAGATGAACTATGAAACATTATTCCTAGATGACATTTTCCTAAATGACAAGACAGAGGAGCTTTCCCAATGCTGACAGACAACATTATGGCTTCCTTATCAGTGACATTTGTTCTGTTGTGAGGTTTAGGAGTGCACATCTGTTAGGCAATTAACAAAAGAGCTGGTAGAGTGACTCTAAAGATGCTGGCAAGCAGAATAGCAAAAATGAGTGCAGGGAGTCAGAAATCATAGTGCTTGTCCTAGGCATTCCTGCTTTGCTACTTCACTGAAATATCCTATTGCTCTACACACCGCTATATAGTTCTGGATCATAACACTTTCTGGGCCCAAAATTATTTCTTCTGACAGTGAAATAACCCTGTCCCTTTTACTTCACTTTGTCTCCACAGAAAGCCAAGGTGTAAAAATAAGGGATTGACAGATTTCAGTGATATAATTTTCTCTCTTTCCCTGTTTTAATTTGTTGAATGTAAACTTGGTGAACAGGGGAAAAGAAGTGGCCAAATAATTTTAGGAATCCTTTCCCTTGCATCATGCCATCATACTTTGGTTTTTGGTGATTTTCACAGTTGTAGGAACTTTTCTGAGGCTTCATATTGTTTCCAGTAAAATTAAAATCTGATTTGTTAAATTAAAAAAAAAATTCATTTATATTATTATAACCTGGACTAAAAGGAAATTACTGTTGATCTCTATATGAGAGTATGTTCCCTGTTACAGATTGTTGGTACAGCAATTAGTTGGATATGTTACAGTATCATTTGATGTGCCAATTTCACTTATACTCTATTTTCAAGCTAGTTGATATGTATGACACCTTAAAATTTATAACATAAATCAAACTAAAGTATAAAGACACAGTTCTTCCATCATGCTTGAGATACATTTCTAAATTTATTACATTTTGTGATATTATTAATGAGACACAGATCCCAATTTTTCACATCATGATAATTGCGGAGGCAGATAAAAGGCAGTTTGGAAGGGCCATCTCAAGTTACACTGTTACTTTAGTTTAGAATGTTACAAAGAGCTAAAGCTCTCTTGCTCCCCTTAGTTATGAGGAGGCCCATTCAAACCCTTTCTCATCTAATCCTTATATATAACTTCTACATTCCATGCTACAGTCCTAAGAGAGTCCTAGATGCCTTTTTTTTTAAATCACAATCCAAATCAAATAATGGGAAAATACTATGTTTTCCAATCAAGATTCCACCCCACACTAATATAAGATAGTTAAGCTGTTACCTACTTGATTTCAGACAAATATGGCTTCCCTATAGATGAGAAGTTCATATTGAGAAAATTAAATTTTGCGAAGCAGTTGACATTCTTTCAGCCTTTGTTAGCCATTTCCTTTCTCAATGATTGGGTGCCTGAGTAACTGCCAGTTGACATTTTCTATATGACAAATGCTACAGTCATCATTCTTAAGGTGAATATTTCCTTTTGGTTTTTACTAGGAAGCCCATCTGGACATGCCATGGGATCATCCTGCGTCTGGTATGTAATGGTCACTGCAGCGCTTAGCTACACTGTTAGATGGAAAGATAAATTAGCTGTTACCCTTCACAGGTCAGTGTCTTTCCATTTCTCTAACTCATAAAGATAATTCTTTATATACATGTTATGTTTTTAATGGACTTAATTTAAACAAATATTCATAGTCTGTTCTATCCAGTTTGTAAGAAAAAAAAAGCAGCCTTTATTATGATCTACCTCAGCTAAAGAAAAAGTATATGAAGAGGATTTAGCCATTTGTATAGGTTCTTATTTATTAAATTACCGTCATTGCATACAATATCTCTAAATCAGCTCCTATTAAAGGTTGTGTCACCTCTTCAGTATTGGAAATTTTTGATTCTATCAATTGTCATTATGTATTGGATCTTTTGGTTAGAACATAAATGTACTGCTTTGATGGTCATCCTTCTTAGCCCATTTTAAAGCAAATGCACATAATGTTGACATAGTTCACTGTAACGTGTTACTCAGCTCTGCGGAAAAGTCTCGTAATTGCTGTCAACCTGACAAGGTTGTTCCCACACTATGTAAATTTTATCATGAAATAACTGAACTTTTACAGTTAGGTATGACTTCATGATGAGAAATAAGCTCAGCGTACTAGTGCTAATTTAACCTGCTATGTATGACTTTCATCACTAAAGCCACAGTGGTGTCTTGGACCTGAAACTGCTGGGGTCTCTTCCTGTAACCACTTTTGATAATGTTTTAGTACTGACTTCCAGGTTTTAATCATCTGATTCTAAACTGCTCTACTTGGTAAATCTCTGGCTGGTAAAAATATGAACCTGACATGATGGGGCTTGGGATAAATTAGTAGATGAAATAGTTTGTCTTAATTTTTAACCATTTTCCTTTTCTCTCTTAGACTGACATGGTCATTCCTCTGGAGTATTTTTTGGATTATCCAGATCAGTGTGTGCATTTCAAGAGTATTCATAGCAACACATTTCCCTCATCAAGTTATTCTTGGAGTATTTGCTGGTAATGTTGCTTTTTTTTTTCTTTTTAACATATTTGTATAATCTCAAAAAAAAAAGAAGTATGAGAAAAGACAAGAGATTTTTCGTAGTGCTACTCATCTTGCAGCCCCAGTGGTGCTCTCCACTCTCTGGAAGGTCAAGGATTTGATGATAGTCTAAAGGTAAAATTTGCAAGGTTAGAATGTGCCTGCTGCCTTTGTAATTCACACAGTGAAGGGAGTGAGTCTTTGTCCACTTGCCAGTCGATGCTGACTGTGTTATATCCACACTGCCTCAGACTAGCTCTGACTGGTTTGTACAGGCTGCATCCAATCTTTGTGCTGCCTGCGTGGAAGAGATCAGAGAGGAAGTTGTTCCTATATGGCTCTGACCTTTCATCTCAGGAGGAAGGTATTTGGGTCACTTCAAATGGTGTCCAGGTGCAAACTAGCATGTGTGCAATGTGGGGGGTCAGAGACCTGGGGCAAAATAGAGAAAAAGGTGAATCAGCAGTAAAAACTCCCCAGGGTGATTTAAGAAGCTGAAGTACATTTTTCAGAGTTATTTAAGCATGTTGCAAATTGGTATTCAGGGAGTTCAAACTATGAACAATCTCTCTAGTATCTATCTGATTTTATAGAGGGTGACCAAAGCATTGAGCAGGGGCTGCCTGCTCCTGTTCTCTTTCATGGATGCAGTGCAGCCTGGGTAGCCCTGGCTAACAGCTTTCCCTCTTCACAACCAGGATAAAATGAGTACGAGAGAAGATAAGTGTGTTCTGTGTCTTTTCCTTCAACACTCAAAGCCTGTGTGGGAACTGGTGTTGAATTCTGCATTGCTGGAGCCAGTCTTTGAGTGAGGGACTCTTTTGGAAAAGGAATGTTCCAGTTTACATCTAATATTTGATAGGTTGTCATCTGGGAGATGCAGTCAGGCCTTAAGGTATGCCTCATATCAAAACCATGTAGTGCTTGGTATTTAATTTCTTTTTTCTAAATTGGCAGTTTTGAGTGGGAGAAAAGGTTCTGTAATGTACTACAGAAGTGGTAAATTGTGTTTGTGTATGTGTATATATACACATAGATATGAAAGACATATTCTTCTGTCTTCAAAAGTCAAATTCTACAGGCACACTGTAGAAAGTGCTTCTTCAAAGTACAAGTGTGTTGTTCCCTGTAACACTGAGTTTCTAATCCACAGGCATTCTTGTGGCAGAAGCATTTGAGCATACCCCTGCTATCCAGACTGCGAGCTTGAGAATGTACATCAAGACAAACTTGTTTCTTTTCATCTTTGCCCTTGGGTTTTATCTGTCCCTCAAACTTCTTGATATTGACTTGCTATGGTCTGTTCCAAAGGCCAAGAAGTGGTGTGCCAACCCAGACTGGATAAACATTGACACAACTCCATTTGCTGGACTGGTGAGGAATTTAGGGGCACTCTTTGGTTTAGGTCTTGGAATTAATTCTGAAATGTTCGTCACAAGCTGCAAAGGTAAAAATAGCTGCAAGCTAAGTTTTCGCATATTGTGTATAGCTGCTTCTTTAGCTACACTGCAGCTATATAATTTCGTTAAGATACCTACTCATACTGAGTATTTGTTCTACATTCTCTCCTTCTGTAAGAGTGCAGCTATGCCTCTGACTGTAGTTGCCTTGGTTCCATACTGTGTCCACTCATTAATGAAGACAACTGAAAAGAAACTTAATTAAGTAAAGGTTCAAAATGATTAGCATTGTGGGGATGGATATGAGCTGTTCAAGAACCTTCCACAAAGGCAGTTTTGTTAACTCATTTTAACCAAAGGAATGCTACTGCATCTTTGATGTGCTCCTGGTAAGTAACCAGTACATCCAAAATCAGTACACTCTAGAATGACTTTGGCAGCTCATAAATATTAGTTGCTGATTCCTAGAAATATTGCAACCACACTGCAGTATGGTTAGAAATGGCCCAATACTCTGGGTCATAACAAAGTTTTAAAGTATAATCAACTAGTTTTATTTAGCTATATGGTGGTCTTTAAGTTCTCTCCATCTCTAGCTAGATGATGCTTCAAGCGTCAGTTGTACATAGTGGTACTCGGTATTTAATTTTTTATATATAGATACTGTGTGTTAAACTGCTACATAATGGTGTGACAGTATCACACCACCTACGATTGTACGGCTGTACCCAGGCACTGTGAAAAAGGCCAGCGTAGTTATAAGCAAGGCTTTACATTTAACTTATTGAGCTTCCTGAGCAAAACAGCTTCTGATTAAGTCAGATGAGAAAAAAAAAGTTTATTTCCATTATTCTCTGTAGAATATATTTTTGCATTACTATGTGGGTTTTGTCATTCTTACTTTTTCAAAGTGGTCACATAAATCATGAATGATACAGATCACACCTTTGAAAGTTGTCAATGATGAAATTATCTCAGTATATGACCTCAAGAATATTGTTCATGCTCCTATATTGCTAATTCTCTCAGATCAAGAGACACAAGCCTGAATCACTGTTAGTAGTTGTGTAAATCATGAAAATGTGGTTGCAGACTGTCATTGCAACTTTATATTCTTGTCAGCTTTGTTTACCTAAGCACACAAGTAGCTAGTATGTTAAATATATGTTTGCTATATAAAATGGATGTTCTAAATAGGCAAAGGTGGGTACTTTCCATTTTTCCTCATTATTTGGCATCTACTGTTGTATATTCCCTTTCAGTACACAATTTTTAAGCAATATTTTGCTGATACCATCTCATAATACTTAGTATACAAGCTCTTTATACATAGCCTTAGTATACAAGGCCATAAGATGAGTAATGAGGGCTGTGTATGTATGATCTGAAAAAAATAAGGCTTAGATGTAAACATGATATTGCTTCCAGACTTCCAGTTAAGTGTGGGAGAATTCAAATTGAAAGAATCTTATTTAATTTGGGTAAACAAGGTGAATAGTTTTGGATTGGCCTTTAGGAATAAACATTATACAAATTACAGCAGCAAATCTGAAACAGGCATCCTTATTTAAGAGCCTAGTAAGACTACCTTGTCTTAAAAAAATGAGTCATCTGATTTTATCAGTTTGAGGAGTATTCTACTTTGTGTATCTCCTCATATTTTCTGTAATGGATCTCTGAACTCTTTTTCCTGCAGCAGCTGTCTTGAAACCAGTCTTTTCTGTAATTGTAATTCCTTAAGCAAAATTACTAAGCTAACAGGACTAGAAACAAATAACCAAGAACAAAGACAGCCAAGACAAAGATCAGCGTGTTAAGTTGCTTTGTGCTTTGTTATTCCCTACCAGTGAGGTGACCTACAGAGGCATCACAGAACACTAGCAGGTTGTTCTAACTGTCCTTCTATTTCTGGCTCCTTCTGCACAGCTGTCTGAGGCTTTCACAACAGCATTTGGATTTAGTGGCAATGTGGGCAATTTTAAGCTGGGAGTTATGGTTAGACATCACATTTTTAAGCTTCTACCACATGAGGGTCTCTGCTTCCTGGCCCTGGCAAAGAATCTTGGTGCCTCTGTTGGGATAGACACAACCATAGAATGACAACTGGCATTTCTGCAGAAGACAGCAAATGACACTATCTACTGTCAAGACTAACAACTCAGGCTTGAAAGATGAAAGCAAATGCCTTAGGGTTGGCAAATGCCTTTGGGTTGGCTCAGGGACTTGTCCAGGCCTGGGACATCTTGCTGTGGGGCAGCTACGGCGGCGTGACCAGTCCAGCTCTGCACCGAGCAGTCCATCAAGGCTTGTTGCTCATGCCCAGCCATACTGTGCAGTTCCACTTGAAATTTAATCCCTTTGCACAGGTACCAAAGGTCTTTATAATCAACTGGTTGTCAGTAGCACATAGAAATTAAGCGGCAGGAGCTGGTACCCAGGAATGTGCAACTGTTTGTGTGTGCTGTGAGTGCCTGCACGCTTCTGGGAAGTACCAGCTTCCCAACACTTAGCTCTCGATATTTCCTAGCTGCTTGAAAACAGGATGATGTTACAATGAAGAGCAGTAGCAGTGCCACCTAGGTGGGGCCATGTCCCTGTGCTCCTGCAAGGGGACGACAGGCAGGGGCTAGTGTTCTTGAGCTGGCCTTCTCTGCAGCTCTGTCCTGCACAGCAGACCCTTGTCACAGACATGATCCAGTTACACAGAAATACTTGTTAGCTGGTGCAAGATATTCATGTGCCTGTCTGAAGTGTAAGAGAAGTGCTAAAGCACAAGAGCAAGTAAAAAAATACAATTTATTGGTTTAATTTGGGTCATGAAAATTGTGTCCTTTTAGGCAAAAGAATTATGAAATAAGTACACATAGTCACGGTAGGTTTTAATAGAGTCATTATTTTTCCATGGCCTTAAATACTAATATAAATTAAATATCATATAGGTATGTCAGTAGCTTATTCATACTGATACTTATATTGATACTCTGTCAATATTTTCCATCCTAAGCCATCAAACTAATTATTGCTCTGAAACATAAAAAGGCTGAAAATATTAAAGCAAATAATGCAGCTTTTTTAAAATTTTTAGTTAAGGTTTAAAATACAGACTTCCTTGGGAAAATAGCCATTTCAGTGCCAGCTGTGTGAGTTCAGTAGGGACTTTGGCAGCAATTCTATTAATGGATTTGTACAAAAGTTGAAATTGGGTTTTGCTGCCTGGAATTAAGGGATCTATCCTAATAAAATTTTCGTCCTTACAGCTCTATTCAATTACTGGTACTGTTACATAGTTTTATAAGAAGTGGTGTGATTTTTTTTTTATAAAGTGAGTGGAACTGCCCCCCGCCCTGCAGATTTTAGGACACGGGGAATGACTTTTCCAGTTAATACTCTATTATTCAAAATCAATATTTAAATGTTGGAACTGTAATTTATACTTTCAGTCTATCTGCTTTGTCTCCAAGATCCTAGTCACTAAAGCAAAGAGTGCTGTTGTGCTGCAGACAATAACTCATATTTCAGAGAAACCTGCAGTAGATCTTGTAATAAACTGTGATAGATACAAGCTTCTGCCAAAAGAAGCTCCTTCTTGACCTTTGTCATATCTGAATGCATTGTTGCTGTTTATCAACTGTATTTAATGCAAACAAAGAGCTAATTATGGGGTTTTTTCCACCTTTACTGATTATGATGTCTATAAAAATACACATTATTGTCTTGCCTCCTAAAAAAAAAAGAAGTGGTTTAAATAACTGATGACTAACTGTAGGATTTTACATTAATTTATCCAAAGCATGAATTCCTATTCAAAAATCTATTTGACAGCTTTGATTAGAGTGGTGAGTGTTAGGTGGAGAGTGGCGGGCTAGGAAATGATCCTCACTAGCTTCTGTTCCTCGCCTTGATTGCTTTCCTTACTTTTGTGGAGCTGCCTTCTTTGTAAGTACTGCCTGGTTTTGTTGAAGGGGCTCCGTGGTGTCAGTGCTGTGGCCGCACATGGGGGAAGTGCAGCCTCCTCCTCAGCACAGCTGACCTGTGTGGTACGACGGGGTGAAAGGGTGGGGGTTCTGTACCCACAGGAAAGAGATCTGCTGTAATCCTCTGCAGACTGAACATTAGAAGAGGTGTGATGTACAGCATCATCCTTGGGATTGTTTTCACTTATGCCGCTTACCTAGAGAAGGGACAGTTTCCAGAACACTGGAGCAGAGTCTTCCTTGATTGCTAGTTGAGGCATGACAGGACTGTGCAGTCTGACTGCAGCTAGTGGCAATTCCACAGATCATCAGCAAAGATCCTTCCCATTTTCAGGCTTGCTTTCCCTTATCAGTGGGCTAATTTACTTCCTGAATGCATTAGCCTGTGCCTAGTTCCCTGCATGTGCTGGACAAATGTGCTTGATGCAGAGAGCTACATACCTTCAGTGTTCCACAGGCCTCACAGTATTGTAGAGCACTTTGTAGCAAATGGAGCACCAACATACACATACCTACCATAAAGAGTTTGTTTACAGAAATCTTTCTAATTTAGAATCACAGTAATTCAGCTAATAGGGGCTCCAGTAGTAACAAGTTTCCAATAGGCTCCCTCCATGGCCATCAGTTCATCATGAGTGCCCCTTTCAATGACGAGTCCCTGGGACATCACCGCGATGATGTCGGCGTTCTGGATGGTGGACAAGCGGTGGGCAATGACGATGCAGGTCCTCCCTTCTCTGGCCTTATCCAGCGCTGCTTGGACAGTCTGAAGGCAACAAAGTGTCAGAATGAAAATATGCAAAACCAAATCAGGGCTAATAGCTGCAGGAACCCAATTGCTTCAGATAAATTGGATTTTAAAAGTGACAAGTGAATGAGGCTAAATCAAAGGTTATGATACTGGTGTGCTTAGCTGGGTCATGAACTCTGTTCACAAGCAGTACAAAGGAGGAATAGGTAAACACAGACAGCAGTAGAAATTAATGAAGGCTTTTACTCAGGTAATGTGCTAAGTGTCAGCTCAGTGTGGATATGGTTTTAAATTCCACCATTTCTCTAATCTCTGCAAGTAACCAAGCTACACAAATTATTGCCCAAGTTCTTGGGCCCCTTACTGCTGTTTTTATTGGCTAGTCAGGATTATTATTTGTATGCATCAATACATTTTAGGTTGGTTGATTTTTAATGTACAGTTACATTTATGAACTATTCCCATCTGAATGCTTTGAAACCCAGGCAATTAGTATCCACATTTCTGAAAAAGTGCTGCCTCTTATGGACAGTTAAGGAGCCCTTGGAGCTGACTGCTTTTTTTATAGCTGTGCCTCCTGCATCTTTTGGAAAGATCATTAAAGATGGAAGTGCTGAATTCACAACACGGAATAACGTGCAGTCCTGTAGTGGAGTATGTTGGGAAGTCTCTATAGAACAGAAAGGCTTTGTACACTGTAAGCCATTGTATTAACTTTCCCCTATTGCTCATCACTGCACATCTACCTTTTCGCTTTCCGTGTCTAAGGCAGAGGTAGCTTCATCCAGTAATAAAATTTTAGGATCTCGGATGATGGCCCTCGCTATGGCAATGCGTTGCTTTTGCCCACGAGACAGCTGGGATCCTTGAGCCCCAACATTAGTTTCATATTTCTGAAAAATATACAAAAGGAAGATTTTATTCAGTCATAAGCCAACACAGCAGTACACAGTCTGAAGGAAGAGCAGGAGGAGAGAGGCAAGAATGCTGACCACGGCTGCCTCCTCCTTACAGAAGCCAGGGATGCAGAAACACTGTGCAGTGCTACACATTTCAGGAGAGGTTTTCAAGCCATGCTTTGCCTGCACATGCTCAGAGGTCCAGGCAACACGGTGATGAGCCTGGAAGAAAACTGCGATAGCAAGATGCTGGCTGATTTGTCTGAGGCAAAAAGAAATCCCCTGCCCTAAAATTGGGAGAAGATGCTAAGAGTGGTTTCAGGGCTTGTTTTGTTTGGGTGCCTAAATTGTATCCACACCTTTAATGTTCTTCTGATTTATGTTGATATGATTTCAGTACATTTAAATACTTCATAAGTGGACATAAGCAGCCAGCTTCAAATACTTTTTTCTAAATATCATGCCCTAGTCACAAGGCAAATCTCTCACAGCTGAGAACAGGATTTATATATTTGCCTACTGTGTAAGAAGCCAGTAGCAACTCACAACCACAGTCTCAGGAACATTAGGCATGGTCATGGCACCCTCTTTGCTCCTACAGCTGTGTAAAAGGACATAAAAGGTGTACGTGTGTAGCAACTTTAACTGGGTTTGGAGCAACAAGCAACCCCCACTGCAATGAGCACTGAACAGCCTGTCTGTAGTTCCACAGCCAAGGCCTCGCAGGTACTTACATTAGGCAAGGACATGACAAAATCATGCAGTTGAGCCTTCTGGGCTGCTTCTATGACTTTTTCCATGGTTGCCTCTTTCATGTTACTGCCATATTTGATATTATCAGCAATGCTGCAGTCAAATAGCACGGGCTCCTGTGACACTATTCCAATTTTTGATCTAAGAAACTGGACGTTTATGTTCTTAGAGTCATGTCCATCTATTAACTATAAGGAAATGGGAGAAAACTTGAAACATCATTAGGAATCAACAGCCTGCTACACCCAAATAGTTTATAGCAAAACTAAATGATTGAACCATATTATTAAAATGTAAACACAACTGATTTAAAGTGGTTAGAAGAATTGCTTATATTTGTCCTTTGTGCATGATGTGTATTTTGTGTTATGGCTTTGATTCAGCCAAATGCTAGACCATTTTCTCAATATTAAGTCCTAGTGAACCATCTAATTGCTTGAGGTTAGGCACATGTTTTATTGCCTTCCTGGCACTGAGATCACCACAAGGATTTTTTCCAAAGAAAGAGAAATCAATCTAGATGGGTATTTACATTAGGAAAACATATAAAAGCATACTAAGCTATCAGTAATCAAGTTAAATCTAGACAAATTCAACCTGCAAAGAGGCTGCATATTTAGGGATGTTCCAGGCTCTTTGTTGCTCCATTTAGACTTGATTTTTGCTTGTACTCCCACAATGTACAGCACACATTATATGTTTCATACAGGAGCTACAAAGGCAAAAGCCTATGGCGTACATAATGCATAAGAGTGCATTGTAGTTCTCTTATCTTGCCTGAATACATCTGAGACGATATTCGGGAACTGTCCAAACAGTCCATATCTGTTTGAGAAGGAGCCAAAGCCCCAACCTGCACATGTACACACCACCACTGCTAGGCTGCACGGGAGAACACAGGCAGAAGGCCCCTGGAGCACTGCTGAAAACAACAGCACAGAAACCATGTTTTCTTTGCTTACCACACTTCCTTTGTCAGGGTCATAGAAACGCTCCAGAAGCTGGACACTGGTGCTCTTACCACAACCACTACTTCCAACAAATGCTAAAGTCTGTCCAGGCTTAACAGCAATAGAGAGTCCTTTCAGAACCTGAATATCAGGCCGAGAAGGGTATGTGAACTTACAATTAAGAAATTCAACACTTCCCTTGAAATCCTCCTGGTGAAACAGAGAGAAAGATGTTACAATGACCTCAAGCTCAAAACTGAGAGTGGTAAGGTACAAAATAAATCTTCCTCAGATACCATTCTGGCATCTCTTGTTTAAAATATGACATTCGTGCTTGTGAAATTAGCTGAGGAAAAGGGATAAAAACCACACTGGAGTAGCTGTCCTAGAGATGAAGCTATTAGTCGTAACACTATTTCTCTGCTTGTACTTCCCCACATGTCACTGGTCAGAGCCATCAATTGATGGGATCACCTTGCAAATGGGTAAGTTTTTAATTTTAATACGGACACTCTGTATAAAATAAACAGTTCGAATTTTCTGGGTCTGACTTTTCAATTCACCAGAAATTGAGCATTTTCATTTTGTCTGACTCAGCGATGCTTCGCCTCCTCATGAACACCCCCACCAGTTTGATGTGAATGGAAAAAGCCTCCATTGTAAGCCAGTGATAGTCAGGTTTGTGCATGAACTGTAGAGCAGGAAATAAAAACTTGTTATTCTGTGAGTCATCCAAATCTGTTTCATTCCAAGGTACAGGCGTTTTACACGCCAAATTCCTAATGGCCCACTTTATACTACTCTTGCTGCCTAGTACAGAGCTCACTGCTTCTAAAAGAGCAAAGACAAGTAACAATTATACAGCCAGCATAACCTTCTTGTAAAGCAGTGATCCTCATTGACTCCTGAATCATTAGTGCAACTTCCATGCTTATATTGAGCTGAATGACATCACAAATTACTCATCTCCACTCTTACCCATTTTTCCCCTTTTTCACTGTAAACACTGATTTTAGGAAGCCGATCGACCAGTTGAAAAAAGCGTGCAGCAGATGTTTTGGCTTTGGCATAGTTTGGGGTATAGGAAGAAGCTTTTCCCAAAGCAGTTCCACTGGTGACTATAGCAGAGATCACCCTGTGGGGAAGGGGGACATGGTCATTCTTGGGAAGCCCTCAGGAAACTGAACACTAGACCAAGCCCAGCACTTCTGGAGACCTGTTTGTGGCTCCGAGCAGGCTCTCACCTGAACACAAAGCTGTAATGGAGTCCTTCTGAGTCAACTAGAAACCCCCCGTATCTGTAGGAGACAGAGTTGGCAATGAACACTATGCTCTGGGCAAAGCCAAAGCAGAGCCCATAAACATGTGCTTTTTTGATTGCAGCTCTATAGGGCATATCCAGGTGCTTCTCAAAATTGTTGATAAACATTTTCTCTTTTCCTATCCCAGCTACAGTCCTGATGTTAGAGACAGCTTCACTGGCAATCTGGAGGAGAAAAAGAAAAAAAATGGGTAAAAGCTCCAAATTTTTGCTTGGAAAAAGTTGAGTCTGCTTTCAGAAATGCATGATTCTTTCATTACAGCAGGTGAAAATTGGCAAGGCAGCTGGGGTTGATGGAATTCCACCTGAAGTCTGGAAACATGGGGGCCTTGCACTCCATGCTAAATTTCATGAGCTTGTGGTGCGCTGCTGGGAACTAGGTGAACTACCTTCAGACCTTCGTGATGCAGTCATCATCACCTTGTATAAGAAGAAAGGTACTAAATCAGACTGCTCAAATTACCGTGGTATTACTCTGCTCTCCATTGCTGGCAAAATCTTGGCAAGAATACTCCTGAACAGACTAATTCCCGCTATAGCAGAAGAAATTCTACCTGAATCTCAGTGTGGCTTCAGAGCCAACAGGAGCACCACAGACATGATATTTGTTCTCAGACAACTGCAAGAGAAGTGTAGGGAACAGAACAAAGGTCTCTTTGTAACCTTTGTCGACCTCACCAAGGCTTTCGATACTGTGAGCAGAAATGGTCTCTGGCAGATTTTGGAACGTTTAGGTTGTCCCCCCAAGTTCCTTAAAATGATCACCTCACTTCATGAAGATCAGCATGGCCAAGTCAGATATGGCAACACACTTTCTGAGCCCTTTCTAATAAAGAACGGCGTGAAACAAGGCTGCGTTCTCGCTCCTACCTTATTCACAATCTTTTTCAGTATGATGCTCCAAAGGGCCACGGCAGACCTCGATGATCAGGACGGTATCTACATTCGATATCGTACTGATGGAAGCCTATTCAACCTAAGGCGACTGAAGGCCCACACTAAGACCCTGAACCATCTTGTCCGGGAGCTGCTTTATGCTGATGACGCCGCCCTTGTCGCTCACACAGAAGCAGCCCTGCAGCGTTTAACATCCTGCTTTGCAGATGCTGCTGAGCTCTTTGGGCTGGAAGTCAGCTTAAAGAAGACTGAAGTTCTCCATCAACCTGCACCCCAGGAAGTCCTCCATCATCCCCACATCACCATCGGCCAATCAGAACTCAAATCAGTCCAACAGTTTAATTACTTAGGCAGCCTCATCTCCTCAGATGGTAAGATTGACGGGGAGATAGACAATAGGTTAGCGAAGGCATATAGTGCTTTTGGAAAACTCCATAAAAGAGTATGGCGTAATAAACACTTGAAGAAAGGTACCAAGATCAGTGTCTACAGAGCCATAGTGCTGTCTACTCTTTTATATGGTTCCGAAACATGGGTCATCTACCGCCACCACCTGCGTCTCCTAGAACGCTTCCATCAACGCTGCCTCCGTACAATCCTGAACATCCACTGGTCAGATTATGTGACCAATACATCTGTTCTCGAACAGGCAGCAATCACAAGTATTGAAGCCATGCTACTGAGAACGCAACTGCGCTGGGCAGGGCACGTCTCCAGGATGAAGGACCACCGCCTCCCTAAGATCCTGCTCTATGGTGAACTTGCCTCCGGCTGCCGCAAGAGAGGAGCTCCGAAGAAAAGATACAAGGACTCCCTGAAGCAACAACTCAGCCTTGGGCATATTGATCACCATAACTGGTCTACTCTGGCCTCTAACTGGGAGGCCTGGAGACAGTCCATTTATAACGCCGCTGATGCTTTTGAGAAAGCACGCAGGATCACTCTTGAGGAGAAAAGACAACGCAGAAAGAATCGAGCCTTGCAGAATATACCATCTAAGGAGTCTTTCTGCTGTGTCTTTTGCAACCGGACTTGCCTTTCTCGTATTGGCCTTTTTAGCCACCAACGCGCTTGCAAGAATAGTGGGTAGAGCCCTTCCCAAATCTTCGTTCGCGAAGCCTAGCCATGACGATGATTCTTTCATGAACACAGGACACTATTGCAATATATAAATTCATTCAAACATGATACGGACTGGCCCAAATATCAGCCAGCCTAAAAAGAACCTTTCCTACAAGCAATTATCTACTGACATCCTCAGTAGCAATGCTCTGCGTGCTCCACTGGAGCTGAGTTACTGTAAGTGCACTGAGGCAATCAGGCACATGCTCTCACTTGTGATTTATTTCACATAATGTGAATAAATGCGACATCCACAAAAGGAAAATGTTGTTAGGAACACTGTTATTCCTAACATCAGGAAAGGTGAACCAGACTGCTGAGAGATCTGTCTACCACTTCAGTCCAATCTGAAAGGTCAGTCACACTCCATGCAGCAAGTGCTTTTGCAGTTAGGGAGTTCCCAACAGTGTTTCAATAGTTTGACAAGCTGAAATATTGCACCTTATTTGCAAAACATTGCCAGTTTACATTTGAATTACTGATGATCCCAAATGACCGATTTTTCAACTACCCATGACTGTAAATATGAATTAGTCTTTCAAATAGCATTACCCGTCCAGTAGCTTCCAGCGCTTTCTTGTCCTGTGAGGCAAATCCTGTCAGCATTTTAGCCTGCACAGCTCCAGATAAGGCCAAAAACGGCAGGAAACACAATATAACTAAGGTCAGTTTCCAGCTGAAGTAGAAAGAAATGATCATGGCCACACCAATGTTAGTAATGGAATTGACAATCATTCCTATCTGTGATCCAGTTGCCTTTGAAGAAAAGAAACAGAGATGACTGACTTATACTCCAGTAGTAACTTCAACAATCTTAAAATAAATTTTCCTATAAAACTTGAGAAAACTCTAAGTTACATTAAAATATCATAAGGCACTAAGAGCTGCTGACTGCACTGAAATTTAGCCAGTTTGGATAGTCTGTTTCCAATTAATTGTATCAAGAGGAAGCCTGCAAATGCTCAATATTCTTTTCATCCACCAAATTTTCCATTGAGAGTTCAGAAGATTGTTTCTACTGATTGTGGGAGAGATAATCTAATTATTGAAATTAGTTCCCTCGGTTCCCTGAGGAATCACTCATCTGAATACACTGTTTAGCCCTCACATATATAAATAATAAACAGGACCCTTTTGTAACTTAGCTATTAGCGACAAAGCCTCAGCTGTGCTAAAATCAGTAAGAAACATCACTGAAAAAGCATGAAACAAAGCTGCATTTCTGCCTATCTCTTTATTAAGGAAAAATTTTAAATATAGCTTTGACATCACCTTTATTGAATGCATTCATCTTCTCCTTATGCACTTCAACAACACTATTCTTTTTAATAAATTTGATTTGTTTACTTAAAAGTTACTTTCATAGCAGTAAACAGCAGCCCTAGGCAGGAACTATGCTACTATGTATTAGAATAAAAATGTACATTTGATATCCTTGATGACTTTCAGTCAAATCCATTTGCAGGATGTGAACTTGCAGCATAAAATGCTTATCATCTGTTCTCTGATCTGCAGCAAGCTCTGTGTCAGTCAAGGAAAGGTGGAGGGCACTGCTGCCCAGGTAGCTCTGTTCCCCCATCCCAAGCTGCGGGTTGGATGGCTGTGCCCCACTGCTCTGCATACGCTTTGAACAAAGCTATCCATTAGGAGGCTATTATATGGTTCACTCAGTGTTTTACAGGTTAAAATATGCCCTGTAAGTGCCTGTAAGGTTTGCAGCTAGTTTCTCTGATTCTGTAGAAATTGCTGCTGACAGGGGTTTTGGAAACCTCTTCTCTCATTTGTCTTTTCAATTATTAAAACTCCATTAATAGTTTTTCAAAACTAACCTACCATGTTCAGTCAAGCTGAAACAGGACAGTTTTTGTAACAAAGAAATCTGTACATATCTTTCTTTGTTTCTAGAAAATTGCTTGTGTTGGAGCCAGGTAAAATGGCATCTGACTCACACCTATCAAAGGATCAATCCAGATAGGATACATATATAACAGTTATAGCTCAACATGATTTAACCTTCATCCACTAAGGAACACTATGCATGAAGTTAGTGTTTCATTTTCCCAAACACTGAAACTGGCTGCAGGATTCCTGGCTGGAACATCAGCCAGTACTTCAAACTGTTTTTTCAAGTGGGCTGTCAGTTTAAATTGAAACTTCCACAACATACACAATACCATGCTGAACACTGGAAAACATGGTTAGTGATCAATGTCACTAAAATACTAGTTTGACATGTTTTGGAAATAAACGCTGAAGCATTGTGGCAAAAAGCTAACTCATTTCCAGAAAAAAAAGAAATAATAATCCAGACAGGAATAATGGGTCGTAAATTGTGACCCTATTGGTGCTTTTAGGAAATACCACTATAATAGTTCCACACTGACAGTCTATGATAAATAGAAATAGCTTAATTGGCTGACCAAGGACTGATCTACATTGACCTGGCTGGTTCCACGCTAGATAATTTCTGTAACATGTGCCAAAACAGGCCTTCAATCAGTGCTTAATAGTAAAACAATTCATAAGCTACCAGGTCTTACCCCTTGGACCTGTGAGGCATCTGTTGCAAGTCTTGTAGTCAAAGCCCCAGGGCTGTTCTTCCGGTCATCAAACCAGCCAATGTCTTGCCCCAGCATAGCCTGGAAGCCAATTTTCCTTAAGCGCCTTGTAAGCAGCTCACCAGACTTGGCAAAGGTGTATCCCTGGGGTGCATGAGAACAAACACAAATATTGTAAGAAAGAGATACCCACAGAGTAAGGATTCAGAAACAAAATTTAAGTATGTTGGACTGCTATTACCTGTAGAAACTGGGTGAAAAATGAAAGAACTCCCACCAAGACAAAGAGCACACAGACACCATTGATCTGGGTTTTTTGTTGTTCTTCATCAAGAATGGAGAAGGTCTTTGAAAAAAAAAATGGTGGTATTGTATTAGAAGTGTTAGTTTTGCTGTGTGTGAAGTTTGTTCTTGACTCCCTATTGCCAAGTGCAGAAGCCCACCCCAGAACCAAAGCCAGAACACAGAGCTCTCCCTCACCCACTGCAAAGGCACCATTCCTTATTTTTCTAAGGTGACCCTGGGTTAAAACAAAATAATGGGGTTTTCTCCTGTTGAACAACAAGTTTATTATACTCGGTGTCTGCACACACTACTATTACTTGTGGCCCATCCCCAGTTATAACTAACCAATCACCCTTTACTCTAAACACTGATAATCAGAGAATTGCCATGAAATAAGTAGCATAGCAGTAAAGCAGCAGTGCAGCAGCACCTCACCTCCTCTCTGGTTTATGCCATTGCAATTTTATTGGGCTGTACAAAATGAAGTCTGGGTAAGTAATTATACCTCAGCACGACTTCCTGCACAACATTAACAGACGCTATAATTACCATAAGTAGGCTCCAAGAGGAACCAAGTGTCTTTTACTTCAGGAGTGTGGATACAAGCCATTCACTTACTGCTGGGCACTCGAGAAAAAGCTTAAAGTATAGCCTCTTCACCCCATTCAGCACCAATCTCCACAGTGGTCTTCTCTCAGTCTTAATATCTGTTCTTTTTCAGCACTTGCCAATGTTATTGGCTGCCGCTGAAGTAGTGGTCCAAATCTAAGTAGCCATCCTTTAGCAGTTCCTTTCAGTCAGAGCAGTTGATATGTAGGTCAGTGTATCTATCTGAAGCTGTCTATCTGAACTATTTCTGCTATTTCCAGATATAGGTCAAAGCTCATGTTTTACTTCTCCACTAATCTTAAATTAATTCGCACTGGATTTCACAAGTAAAAATTACTATAAATTGCCCAAACTCTCCTATCTGTTATTTGTAAGGTGTAAAAAAAAATAACTTAAGTATTCTACTTTTGCTTGTATAAAAACAAGACTAAATTCTTCTATGTAAGTATTTAAAAGTAGAAAGAGAAGAAATTTTCATTACAGTTGCAAAATATAAAAATTACACAAAAATAAACTTAAGTCCTAGTCTTAGAAGGTCAATCCACATTATTTATGGTTCAAAGTGAACTGCACATCAAGTAACAAATTCATTAGAGCATGAATTTGAGGAAAAGAAATCACTGTTCTCTAGTGGGAATTTCATTTATATATTTTAATTTTGAACATCAGTACCTTGGCAACAAAATAAGTCCTGCAAATTCCAAAATGATAATATCAAAACAGCTTTTAGTGTTTCAAGATAAGAGCTGTTCTAATGCCATGCTGTCTTATCAGTAGCAAGTATATTACTTTCTCATATTAATCTTTATTTTAAAGAAAAAAAAATCATGAGTTATGTTTTAATGTTTTTGTTCTAGTAAGAACAAAACATATGATGGTCTACTGCTGTTTCTATTCCCTTAATGAAATACACTATAAATTCAGTACTTCGTGTAACAGGCTGTTGAGCAGATTTCATTTATGTAAGTTATGTATCTAGAAGAGATACCACTGTTTTGGTTTTGTTTGTTGTGTTTTTTGTTTTGTTGTTCTGGGGTTTTTGTTTTTGTTTTCTGTACGAAATATTCTAGTTAAATACTTGGGCAGAATCAGATACAAAGTGAACTCAGTGCACACATAAAGTGTGCCCTATGAGGATTCTGGATTTTAGAATTGCTGTGGTATTGTGATGGTATTTTGTATATCATCATGGTATGCAACATCTAGACATGGATGGGAAAATGCACTTCATAGTAGTGATCATGCCACAAACAGGGCTGGCCTAAAACAGAGCCAGGGGAATAACTAACAATTTACCATTGTGAATATTTGTTAACATTGATGTCATGTAGTTGCAGTGCTGTGGTACTTTTTCCTAAGAAAAACTACCAGCAAGATTTTTGTTGAAATTATTAGGAATTCTAATGAGTACAATTAATTAACAGTATAGTAAACAGTGTGTGATGGATCATGATAAATATGTAGTTGTGAACAGGGATAAACAATCCTACTCTCCAGAGATGCTGATGGCTTTTTCACAAGTGACTTGAGTACTGTCTCTGCACAGTCATCCAGAAACACTGGGATGGCACCACACATACATGGGTTGAACTTCATATTTTTTCTTTTCACACTTCGAAATTTTTCTCTCTAATCTTATAAATAAATATCAAATACAAGACTGAGCATTGCAAACAGAGATGTTTGCTGTAGGACCCTACAGTGAGCCCCAGTAAGTATTTATGCTTGTTATACATAAAACTGTGTCCATTGCTTTTGTATGGCTAGATGGTAGGTGAGATTAAGTAGGATTCTTTATTTCAAGAAAGTCAAAGGCAACACAGTTCCTGATTTCAGGGAGGCTGGATCCATATCCAAGCTTATGAAAGGTGCTCATGAAAAAGGAGAGTGTTGTGAGCCTTTGCTTTAATATTCTATCCATATCACTTACATTCAAAGTGCTTCCTTTGCTTTCTCTTATGCAAGAAATACGATGGAAAAGGCCTTACAGTTCCTGTGGCCAGGCTCTCTATGACTGCTAGATAAAGGCTGAGATTACTGCAATGTCTGCAACACACCTTGAGTGTTTCTGGTAAAGACAGTCAGTCTGGGATTCCTACTGCAAACTTTAAATTGAAGGAAGCATCCTAACTCAAGAAAAGAATGGGCTGAAGTACATGCTTACACTGTCCCTAAACTGAGAGCAATAGCAGTTTATAGTCCTGTAGAAGGAAATCTGGATAACGATCATTGGGAAGAGATCTCTGTATTGCAGAGGATTTTCCCCCCCTTGCAAATCTGTCCTGTAAAATTGAGCTATCCCATTCTGCAGCTATCCTAACATACACAGCTACGTTTTTGACCTACGTTCTTGATTTAAAAAAATAACACTGATCACGGTAACATGCAGCATGGACAAAAGCATCAGGTCTATAAACAGGAAGGTTTGTTGCTCAGGTGTCCATGTTCAGATCATGTAAGTTCCAGCAGTTTTAGTGTGGACTATCTTTCATCTGGGGCCATGGGCTGCATGCCCAACAGCAGTCAGAGCATGCCTTCTGGTTGAGTTTCACTGGAAAGGATCCATTTCCCATACTCTGAGACAATTCCACAAGGAGAACGAAAGCACAAGTAAGAAGAAACTACTGAGAAATTTGTTCAAAAGGTACATATCCAGGATTATCCACTTCTTCGTTGACTTTTGGGATTAATTTCTGAAAACTTTTAGGGCAGACTCAGCTTAATGTATCCTTTTACTTAATAGCTGTGGGGATTCCCCAGCCTATTTGTCCCAGAGTACAAGTCCACATGTCTGACATAACAACATTGCAGATATTCAGACAGATTTAAAAGCAGATGCATATTCCATCTGCCTGACTGCCTTGACACTGGGCAGAAATATTTTAAATTTACGAATAATAAAACACAGATGTTGGACTTTGCTCGTGTTTGCTATGGATTCATTTTTCTTGCAGCCCTTCTCATTTGATGGACCAAGGCCTTCAAGAGCAGGAATTCACCATTGGCAATGAAGATATTTAGCATCTTGCAGAATGAAACCAGCCCCAGACCACCCAGGGTCTAGAAGACCTCTCTCCAAAGGAATCAAAGGTTAGATTCATTGCAGGATGCATATTGCAGTGTCTCACCTGCTGTCTGGTGAAAGCCACAGTCCTTGGCTTGAGGTCTAGACACTCAAAAAATGCTTGGAGGTGGCACACCTATGGCTAAAAAGCCAAGAACATTGGCCAGGAGCTGCTAAGTGGACCAACAGGGACTGGAACGTCTTTTGCCCTGCCCCTCCCAGGATCTTACCTAGCAAATGTCAAGCAGCAATTAAATGTCATTCAAAGTCCTGAGCAACTTCCCAGAGAGAAATATCTAAGCCAAAACAAGTTCCCCCCTGCCAAAAAACAGGAAAAGGTCAATCTTTCTTTTGATGGATTGCTGGCAGTGCTCTTAGAAGCATTTTATCAACACTTTTTTATCCATAGCTCTGATGTTGGGGCATTCATTCACTCACTCTTTCTTGTATGAAAGGTTTTGGAACTCCAATATCTGTCTACCCTCTAGGTCATATATGCTTTGCACACATATATACTTACCATGACTTAAACAAGTGAGAAACACAAGTTTTATCATACCTCAGATGGATAATAATAATGGCCAGTCTTCGCGAACGAAGATTTTGGGAAAGGTCTTTTACCTTTCCAGCCTGCGCAATGGATTTTTTAGGTGAGACACAGCATGCGCTGAACTGAGCCCACCCTTTAATCCTAAGGTTCATCTGCCGGGGCCAAGCAAGCTTGGACAATGGCAGTGAGGTCCTCAGGACGTAGGTTTGTTTAGAGTGACCTTCTCATAGATGGATGGCCTCACAGGGCTAACGAGCTCCATCTGCCTGGGGGACTGGGATTTGAACCTGGGTCGCAGTGGTGAGAGTCCCGCATGCTAACCACTAAGCCACCAGGGGTCCCCACCTCAGATGGATACCAAACCCACAAAATGACAGCAGCATTCCTATTTTCTTCCCAGTGAATGTGTCATTACTTTACCCAAGAAGAAACAGTGTCAACAGCTGGGTTTTCTCTAGCCTAATTCTTGAAAATTTAGGATACTTTCCTATCCATTAGCTACGCGTGAACCCTGTACAATTATCTACCTATACCTGGGCATTCTGCAGGAGCAGGCAGCAAAGAGCTGCCTGAAATATATAAACAAAAAAGTGAAGTATTTTTTAAATCTGATCCAAAGCTTCCTCAGAGGCTTGCCAATTCTGTAGAATAAAATTCTGCAGGGAAGGACCTTTGCATGTGTCTCTCTCCAATGTACCTGCATCTGAGGTAATCTTGTCTCATCTAAAATAAACAGTGTGCAAGTATAGAAACCCATTCCCAACAGTTCCTGAAAAGTGAAGAAGAGAGATAATGACGAACACATGCCAAAAGCTGATAAGCCTACCCCTTCAAAGAACTCTACTGATTGTGTGATGACAGTGATGTAATAATCTCTATTGAATAATTGTTTATAGTCAAGAAGACTAACCCCATTTACTTGATGAGATCTAAAGATTTGCCCCAAACATGTCAAGTTGTGCATCATACATTCACTCTCCTCTGCTTCAGAGCTAAAATACACATTAAAATGTTACCATAACATACCCCAAGAATCTGACTGAATAACAAAGCATAGAGTGGATTGACTGCTCCATTCATAGCTGCTGCCAGAGATCCAAGCACCAGGTATGGCCATTCAGAGGCATTGTATTTCAAAATTCTGGTAAATGATACAGGTTTGGCGTCTTCCTCCACAACAGATTCCTAAAAAACAGGTTGGATTTATAAAGTGAATGCATTCCTCCAGTGATGCTCTCCCTTTGAGAGTGAGATCAAATAGTTAGCCTTATTTGTTAAATGACCATCTCATGCCCAAACAGCTGCTCTAGCTTTGTACAGGAGGGGAAAAGACGGCTGCTCTCTGGAGTTCTTTCGTAGGCCTGATGAGTCACAAGAGGGTTACATAAATGACTACCTTTACTGTCCCTGGAGAAAAAGAGAGAGATTCATGCCTTGTGGAGCTCTAATGATTCCAACTGAAGAGGTTATTTGCAACCAGTTTAAGATTTTCTGCCACTGAAACTCAGGATGTTTCTTTTTATCTACCTCCAGATGAGGTGTGGTGCAAAACCTAAACTTCTTCCTCACAAGCAGCTTTTTGTGTCACTCATTAAATCTTCTTAAATATTACTTTTTAAGTATTGTGGATGAACACACTGAGCAGACTCTGCATCAAATTAAGAGGTATGTGATATAACTAAAATGAGAGATCTCACAGTGATAGCTGGATTCAGGTTTTATACATGCTAAGTATGACTCCCTTCTGTGAAACATCCTCAGACTATATGTTGAATTCCCATAATTATGCCCAGTAAATGCAGAATATTCATCATCAAATTATAACTTCTCCTGCAGTTTGATATGTGCAGAATTTTTGTAACACTTACGTGCTCAGCCCTGCTCATGTCCCTCAGTTCATATGACTAGAAATGCCCAGACAAAAGAGACACTGTGAAGACATCTCTGTTGGAAAGGAGGCAAGGAGGAGTGGGTGGAGGCATCTTGTATTTTCTCTTGCTTCTGAGCTAGTGACACAGTGACAGCACTAAAGCACTCTATTTATCCACAGAATAGGCTTAGCAATAGCAAGAACAGTGACTTCCCACTGCTGCTCTCTGCACTGAACAACCACAACCATGAAAATTGGTGCAGAGAGCTTCATAAGCAATTTGGAAATCCACTGTGTATATTCCTACATATTCTGTTTAATTTTAAGGCCTGCTGCCTTCATTTTCTATGCCAGCTGATTGCATGAGGACACTGACAGCAAAAGGACTCTGGGTTAGTTGCAGTGAGGGGGTCTCTCTGCTCGAGTCTCCAGATGATTTTGAGATGAAAGTGAATTTACTCTTTATTGAACAAGAAGCAGTGCCATTTGTATCACTGAGTGGCTATTATATTTCACAGACTGAGCAGTTTGCTTTTTGTCAGTTAATTCAGCTTTTATGAATATGTTTCTCAACTAAATCTACAACATGTATCAATTTACCAATAAGTCATGCTCTGCTGAAAATTTTGTATGGACCAATAAGCATAACAGACATCAAAATGCAGCCTAGGGTTTACACAGAGGTAAGAATTGAAGCTGTGGTTTTGTTTAAGCAGAGAAGAGGATCAAGCCAAGAAAACATACCTGCCATCAACTCCTACAACAGAGACACCTATCTGTAGGTGATCCTTACCAAGGGATATAATCCGATTGGTTGAAAATTTCCTAATAAGCTATTGAACCTGACCTTTTTTGCTTTTCCATCATCTTCTCCATAAGAAGACGTAAGATACGTAGACTCTGCATGATCTCCTCCTATAGATAATGGAGGCTCAGGGACTATGTTAGAGAGCTGAGATCTCGAGCGCTCCCGAAGTGAAGCTCTGCAAAGAGGACACAAATAGTCTGTTCTTCACAGCTCAGTAACACAATACTTGCTTGCAAAGCAGGTACAGTTTTTATATCAACTAAATCAGGATGCACTGAAGTGATTAGTCAGAATCCCACAGACCTTTTCTTTCTTTTCTATGGTCTTTCAACTTCTCGAGAAAAAATATCTCAGCAGGGGCAAATACTTTTCAAAATCATATTCCACTCACACCACTCAGACGTTGTCTTAGATATGCCATGCACTCTGTATTTGTTGAGTAAAATTGTGGTGTGCCCTACTATATTTTGCAAGTTAACACACCAATTCAAATCACCATTACCACTATCAGTAATTCAGTCCAGAAAAACAGGATGTTGAAACAACTCATCTCTATCTCTGACAAAACATAACCCTGTAATGTAGGACATGTATTCATTTGCATATGTCTGACATGGGCTTGCTTGAAAGAAATAATAAGTGTATAACTACAAGGCAGTCTGGCTTGTAAAATGCTTTAACTCCCATCAAGCAGAAGCCATAATAAAAATGTCCTTGTAGATTGCATTGATTTCCCAAGTAATTGCACAGCAAGTCATTTTTCAAGGGACTGGACTGAAAGTGCATTAGATATTACAAATGTGGCTCTATGTTAGCAATAACAAAAATAGAACATTAACACAGTAAATCAAAACTGGACAGAAAGTACTATGGATAGAAAGAGAAGCAAAATTAAGAGCCTTGCTATTTATCCATGGACTTCAATCAGTAACATTAACACTCAAGCTATTTCTTTCCAAGTGAACTCTATTTCAGTAAAATGCTTGCAGTCCTTCAACCCTCTTTTACGCAGCATACAGAAAAGTCATTTATTAGCACTATTGGTATTTTGGAATAGCGGGATGAAGCACAGAGATCTGGAAACACATTGAGATTTACAACCATTTTTAAGACTCACCTCAAACTGGCCCGATAGCTTCCTCTGCTGAATGACTGGACTTTCTCAAGAGTTGGCTCAACCACATCATCCTCTGCTGCTGCAAAATATAGTATATAGAGCTCTCCAGTTAGTGCTAAAATTGAATACAACCTAAGTTCACTGTGGCTCTGCAAAAAAGTGCAGTGTGTCCAAGTCATAAACAGAATACCTTGTAGAAGGCAAAGAATGTAATACAACCATGCTACTCAACCTACATGTATCACAGGGTTTATATTTGTATTCGACAGGATGAATTTAACCAAATTTTAGCCCAAGGACCACCTCACTTGAGATGTGGCTGCCAAAGGCTTTTTCTCTGTTTGAACTCCATAATTTCTCTCTTATTTTAAGATAATCATATCCAATGTATGACATTTCACAAAAATACAAGAGATCATTCTATTACACCTTAATTTCCAGAAGCTTTGATTCAAATCTGCCTCTAGCAAAACAAATAGAGTGGTTTCAGCATACTCTGTAATTTGCTTGAATTTCAAGTGCAGCAGGACTGGACTGTTGGCACACAATGGAGCTATAAAATGATGGGTATTGAAGGTCAGGACTCCTATTTCAGGGTAGATCTATATTAGGAAGGTCATTCAGTGCATATGCAGCAAAAACACTTTGGCCAGGACTATCAATGTGTTACTTCTATGAATGATAAAACTCAGCCATAAAAGTAGAAGAAAAAAAAGAAACAACTAGTCCTTATCAAAAAAAAAAAAACTTAAAATATCTGCATTCTGTGGATTTTTACATAATTCTATAAAAGAAAACAAAATATTTACTCTCTGTTTCTTCTGTAGTAGGTGCTGGGTCTCCTTTGCTTTGCAAGGTCACCAACATGAAATAAACCCCTTTCCTCTTCAAGAGTTCCTCATGAGTTCCTCGCTCTACAGCCCTTCCATGCTCAAACCCCACGATGACATCGGCGGCTCTGACGGTTGACAGGCGGTGAGCTATCGAGATCGCTGTGCGGCCAAGGCGAGCCTGGCGGGAAACAACAACTGTCTGGTTCCCAGGACAGCACATGGAAATGCTTGGAACCTGAGCCATGGAATCTAATGTCTGGTCAAATTAACAGGAGTAGTTCCAGCTGACTTTGACTTAAGCTCCATCCATAGCCCACAGAGCAAAGAGAGCTATAGATTTCTGTTAATGTCCCAAAGTAAGCAAAAATACCAAGGTTCTGTCAATAATACCAAGGTTCTACTTGTGCATATGAAACAGTTATTAAGCAGAGCTTCTCACTGATTTGTTGAAATTCAGCAACACTCTCTGCAGAGTAGGTTAAAAATAATTTCTGCCCTTTCAAGTCTGATTTTTGCTATACTATAGCAAACCTTATGAAGTGCTTCTTGGACAATAGCTTCACTTTCATTATCAAGTGCTGACGTAGCCATATCCAGTAGCAGGATTTTGGGGTTTCGCACCAAAGCTCGAGCAATAGCTATCCTCTGTTTTTGACCTCCACTCATCTGGCTTCCACCCTCTCCAACATGAGTGTCAAATTTCTGTGTGAAGGAGAAACGTGAAAATGAAACAGATAACCAAAAAGTCTGTTAAGCTTCTGGTGAAGATATTGGTAAAATGTCTCTCAGATTTGTCCTTGGAGTAGACTTCAAAAAAATTATTGTCTTTGAAAGACAAAATCATTGTTAGCACAGCATATTCAAAGGACAACTGGTGAAATAATTTTCTTCATAACGTACAACATCATTTTGCCTGAACTGAGCTTCCAACCCCAAGCCAAAAGTATGCACTGGTAAAAAGGTGAAACATTCTGGTTTAATTCAAAACAACTACATGAGCAAAAGCTGAAATGGAGAGGAATCACCCACCCACTTTCCCTCAGATGACTCAGAAGTAAACTTTTCACAGAGCTGGATTTGTCTGCTGATGACCTGTGACTCATGGACACTGTGTCTGTGATTCATGGACATAGCGTTCTGGCAGCATTGGGTTCAGGTAGTGAATTAAATAAACATGTAAAGCCTGGCATACTGAAAGACAGGATAATTATATTTACCTAGAGTTAAATCTTTTTTATTCCTCCATTTCCAGGAAATAAACATGGGCCTTTAAAGAGCCTTTCTAGGAATAGTTTCCTGGAAGCCTGGAAATGCATAGATGGAGGATAAAAAGTATGTTGTATCATGTCATTCTGAGAAGTTACTTGGCAAAATAACATTCTAGAAAAGTAGACAGCCCAGTACTATTCAATATGGGCTTTGTAAGGAGGAATTATTGAAGCCCTGTCATCATAAGGGAAGGAATTGGAGAAGAGGGAACCTCCGGCTAGTTTACAAAGCTCGTACAAGGAGATTAGGTTGTGAGCATCAGTACAGACTACTTCTATAACATATGCTGGTTACTGAGAGGTTGGGCTCTACATTGCTTTTGGCCTGAGCAGAAACAGATCTACATACCATGAAAAATACATATTTTTAAATCGTGCTATGATTATTACCATGATATTGAGTGTTGTGCATATGATTCCTGAGGAACTAATCCTGCTCGAGGTTGTTTTTTTTGGGGGGGAGTTGTTGTTTGTTGGGGTTTTTTAACTTGAAGACATGCATATAGTAAGACCTAATTAACTGTAGTCAAAGGAAAGGTTGCTGCCTACTATGTATATTAATCTTCTGTCCTTCCACCTGAGCACAAATTGCTGCAGAGGGGGAGGGACAAAAGGATTCTCTATTTTTTCATCAAATTGTGCCAAACACTTTACAGAGCAGAGCATACCTGTGGTAAGTCCATGATGAAATTGTAAGCATTGGCCTGTTTGGCTGCTTTGATTATGTCATCCATGGTAGCCTCATCCCGACCATAGCGAATGTTCTCTGCAATCGTGGTGGCGAAGAGCACTGGCTCTTGTTCAACAATGCCAATCTGTGAGCGCAGCCACTGGATATTCAGGGAACGAATGTCATGGCCATCCAGGGTAACCTACAGAAGCCAATTAAAACACAGACACAAATTTAAGAAAAATAGTCAGGGAAATTATCCCCACCACTTCAGAGACAAAGGAAGACACACTGGAAATGAAGGGCTTGTGATGCTTTGTTTCCATGACCAGCATAAAAATTTAGCCTGCATACACAGAAGAAGGCAATGCAGTGACAGTAGCATTGGCTCTAGGAGTTGTGCTCTTTGATTTCATTTCCACTTTTGCTTGGCCTCAGAAATAAAACCAGGTGAAAAGTAATCATGAAAATGATGATTATATATTCACAAAAAATCTGTTCTTCATCTTTAATACATTTAAATACAGGTCAATGTGCATGTGATTATGTGTTCCTATTTGATACAGAAACACATAAATGGAATGAGATTGTTTATAGATGTAATTCTTATTCTTAGTCAAGCCATTACTAAATGGTATTTGCATATACTAAAGTGATATTATGGATTAATACTTAAGTGTTCAGTATTGTCTTTTCCAGAAAACATTTGTTACTCCTGAATTATAACTATAGGTATAGGTTTTACTCAGATTTAGCACTGAATTTTTATTTTATCCCGTTTTTCTCTTTCACATAAGTATTTTTATAAGACTGTTAAGCACAGTCTTATAAAAGAAATGCACAGGAGGATATTTTGCTCATTTAAAAAATAAATTTTTAAAAAAGAAGGAAACAAAAAGGGAGTTAGGAGTCTTCCTTTCCACCTTGGAGAAGAAACCATGCCATTCTCTCAAGTTCCTAAGCCTGGAGAAACACATTCTAGGCTGGTACACTCACCATGCCTTCAGTGGGGTCATAGAAACGCTGGATGAGCTGCATCGTTGTACTTTTTCCAGCTCCACTAGCTCCAACAAAAGCTGTTGTCTCCCCTGCTTTAATAACCATATTAAGGTTATCCAAAATCTAGAGAGGAAAAAACCAGAAACAGAATCTATCCATTCTAATTCTTTCACAGTCACACAATCAAATGAGTATACTCTGTATCTTCAAAGGTAGATTCAAAGTAATTTTACAAAATTCAGAATAGTATTTTTAAGAAAGAGGATAAAGCAACCCACATATTTTTACATTGCTTGAAGAGTTTGTAAATGCAGAGCACTTATTTACACAACAGGCAAGCAGATTTAGATCTTTTTTTTTACTGTTGTTCAGCATTAAGAACTAGTCAAGTTAACACCACTAGAGAACTTGGCAGTAAATTCCCTTTAAAGAACACCGCGTGTGTACTGTGAAGGCCTGGTAAAGCAGAAGTATTAAGAATGTCAGACTGAGATTCTGTAGAAAAATCTGATACTTCATGTGCTTCTGTCTCTAGAAGCAAAGCACTCATTTTCTTGTCCAATAATATGCTTTTCCAAGGAGAATTTGTCAATTCACACACAGCAGTAGAGAAATTATGAGGTATACAGCCAATGTTCCTGTACCTTTCTTAGCATTTTAATGGGTCACATGGCACATCCCCAGGATAATCGAAGAGTTTTATAAAATCTCCTTGTACCATTCAGCTTTTTACTTTGTGTTCTATTCTAGCAAACATTGATATAAGTGCATAATTGATTGTAAGAGAAGCTGTATGCGAGTGAATTTGTCTGAAATTACTAGGAGTTTATGTTCAGCAGCAAGGAATATGTTGATGTGGCAAGGGATATATCAGAATGGTAAAATAAGCAGAATGGTAAGGAGAAGAACCCTTTATAGAAGAATTATTCAGTTGACTTTTAAACAAAGGATCTGGGCTTCTAGAAAATGACCTCTACTGAAAATCTAGAAATTGCAGGCAGAATCAGGATATTTTGATTGTTTACAATAATTGTGTTCACAAGATGGGTGATGAATAGTTACCTTTATGTCTGGTCTGGAGGGATAATGAAATGTTACATTATGAAATTCAATTTCACCTCGTACTTTATCCAGCTTGTAGCCATCTTCTGACATGCAGTCAATGGTGGGTTTCTAGGATAAAATTTATTCTGTTATTTATTTGCTGTTAAATAGACAAGAGTGCTGCAGTAAATAAATATTCCCAATACCATACAAAGCCACAGCACTTCTGTTTGAACAGCATTTGGCTGCATGGAGCCAGCTGCAGGCTCTGCCCCAGGGACAGCAGGCAAGGGGCATGAGACTGAGAGCCAGAGTGATGGGGGAGTTGTCCCCAGTGGATAGTATGGGCAAGAAGGATGCATCCTCTTCTCATTTTAGGCTGACTGCAAATACCACAGTCAACCATTCAGCTAGGTTTTGCTGGAACAGAGTAGCTGACTGAGTGAGGCATTTTGATTAAGCTAATTTAGCCAGCTGCTCAGGAATAAAATGGCACTAACCCTGTTCATATAAACATTCTCTCACAGCACCCAACAACCAATTCATTGCTGAAAATCTGCACACCTCACCACTCTGCATCTAAAACATCCATCCTAGCACACCCTGTCCTAGGAGCTGGAATACTGAAGTTTTCCTATGAAGTGCTTTGGGTCTCACATACCTTTGGCCAGGCCCTGGGTATTGCAGACTGTTAGACACAAGCAGAGAACTAAGAGGAATTTGAGGAATCACAAAGAAATAAAATTTTCTAAGGGCAGACTTCTGAAGCATGGAATACAGAGAATTAATTAAAACTACAGCAACACCAATATTTCATAATTGAAATGTGCGTGATTTTTTAAATGGCCTAACAGATTGAAGGGAATGTTAATATGAGAAATGTGTATGCTCTAAGATGTTAAGAACAGCTAGAAGATTGGTTCCTCTTAAGGAATATATCATACTTAAATTCAGATACTAAGCTATGATGTAAAGTTTCACTGATCCTGCAAATGGAAACCTCAGCGTGACTGTAAATTTAGTGCCAGAAAAAATCTGTATCAGGGCAGAGCTGTGCTTGTACTGTCTAATCACAAATCTACAAATGCGGCAAGCAGATGGATCTAATTTTATCACTCTTTCTCTAGACAGATGAAATCTCACTTTGGTTTGCTTTTTTCACCCTAAGGTTATCTGACTCAGCCTTATCTTGAATTTTGTGATTAATCCTTACTGTTGCAATTCTTTATGCTTTTGAATTTTTTCTCTGAAAAACAGTAACCTTGTTTATCTCTTTTTCAGTTTATCTTAGAGCTTTAGCCTATGAAATGCAGTTATAAGCATATGTTTTATTGTTATTACAGAAGTTTGAAGGGTCACTAAAAAATCTATTATCATTACCACAGCCTCTCTAGTCTGCTTTATACACCCTTATGTGCTCTGTAAAAGACAAGCAGCATTCTAATGTGTTTACAGTTTTTAACATAATAAAGCATATCAGTGAACAGAGATACTACCTACTATTAAGAAATCAACAGTACTTTTCCAACAACTAAATTTATAAAGCTACAGAAAGGAATCCCCATCAATAAATGCCAATGGAGTCTCAGGCTCTCTTGTACTACCTTATTTCAAGTATCTGTCTGCTTAGATAATATTGTGATTAACATTTATGACTGCTGCATGACCGGTGCCTGTGCCTGTGCTCATTTGGGTAGCTCTGGGACAGGTGACAGAGGCCACCTTTGCCACTAATGCCAAAAGAGTCACACCTTTTGATGCCATCTGGAGGCTGCAAATTTGATTGCAAAGTGACCATTACTGCCTGCCAGTACACTTTTCATCGGCCAGCACTGATAAGTAATTGTATGGCACGAGAAACGGGAATAAAGAACATCAGTAACTGAGGTAAAAATTCATTATTCAGAAGCAGGCCACTTAAGAAATCTGTTCAACACATTCTTTGAGCCCATGCACATGCCACTAGACCTTCCTATTGGACAATCAATTTTTCTTTAATTGGACTCATTTTTCCTCATTTTACACAGTAGATAGAACTAGTACCACTTCAAGCTTATTTAATTATTTTTCCACTACAAAATAACACAGCTTAGAAACGCATTACTTACTTTATCTATTGTCTCAAAAATGTTTGCTGCAGCCCCACGACCGGTGGCAAAGGCTTCCAGACAGGGAGATGCCTGGCCAAGATTTAATGCTCCTACTAAAACACCAAAGAAAACCTGAAGAAGTGGAAAAAGAAATTAACAAAATATGACATCACATTTTTGTTATAATTTACAGTTTAGACATGCAGACCAAACTAGAGTGGCTTGATGACTTCTCATGCATCTGCTGAACTGCAGTGATTCACTATATGAGCATTATTAGACAACAAGAAAGCAAACAAATCCATTTTAGAAGGTATTTTCACTATCTTTCACAACTTTGTTTGAGGTCGAAGGAAATCACCCTATCTTATATTTGCCCTGTCCTAACAAATTGTGCATCCAGGTATTCACTGAGATGCCAGTGATGCGTTTTTAAGCTATCTCAGTTTGACTGGGTGCCTGTTCCTTGAAACATGGACTGGAACAGAACATTGGTGGGAAGTAGATTATTTTGGGAATGTCTTTTACCAGTAACCAAAAAGAGAAAGAAGCTTAAAACATTGTATTACAACGTTTGTATACTGCAGTTCGTCTCATCCAATGCTCAAAAAACTTACTTCTGGAGGAGGTACCAGCTGCAAAGAATACTTTTTTCTCTATATCACAGAGAAATGAACTGTAAGGGTTGCTACCAACACTGAATAAGCCACATTTTGAGGTGAGATTATTCTATCAGTGCAGGTGGACAGTTTCTGCAGGTAGCACACACCCAATGTGCTCACTGTTTCAAGTCCTTTTGTAAGAACCAAAAGGAAGAGTTACTAATGACCCTCTTCTGAAAGCCCCAGGATCCCCTTTTTACCTAAGCCTAGGACAACACGAGAGAAAATGATCCACAGCATCCACTCTTCCTAGAAAGACTGGCAGACAATAAAGGCAGCTGAACAGAGTATCAAGTATCAGAGGACACTTCAGTTCAAGAATTCACACAGCTTGGTGTCTGGCCTTGCAGATCAGAAGCAAGTGAAGCTGTAGCATATCAACCAAAATACCAAAAATGTTTGTTCCAAATTTCCTAAGAGCTGCCAATGCTTCATTTCCTACAAAGAAGTTTTTATCAAGGTTCTTAAAAAATGTAGAAAGAAACTGTCTAAGACTGAAAATGCTGGCAATTCTGATATGAGAGAGGGGCTTCAAAGAACAGGACACTGGAAGATAGTGAACATAAAAAGATGAAGGCTTATTTACCACTTATACACCACATATGCAAATATATTAATTGTCTGTTCCTACAACAGGGAGTGAACTGCACTGTATAGTAAGTATAGTTTATTTTTCTCAGTGCTACCATATCAGGGCATGATTTTGAGCAGTTTTTGAAATATTTTTTCCTAGAATTTACTCTGCTTTATTTCTTCTTAGTTTTTCAGTTACAGAGGTGGCTTGGCAGAACAGATTATAAATGTTTGGACAATGTCTTTGGTGCAGGCTTTTGCTCCATTTTCTTGCATGGTTGTGGCTGATAGTTTGGACATTCACCCTGCACATTAGAAAATATGTAATGTAATGTATAATATGCAATCCTTTGGTCTAGTTTGACCTGGGAATTCTGCTAAGAAGCAATCAAGGACTCAGCTGGCCTTTAGGCTGCAACACAAACAGTAGTCAGGATAAATGGGGCAAAGTGTACAAGGAAACACTACTGCTGAGAAATAAATAGCAGTATACAGGACTCAGTTCTCCTGTTTACTGAGAATAACCCTATAGCTAAAGTGGAAGACTCTATTGTACACTATGTACTGCAAATATCTACACTGGGATGTATAGATTATGCCATAAATTCATATTCAGCTTTACTACTAGGTAATTTTCTTGTGTGAATGAGTCCCAAAGCAAGTAGGTTTTATGCATGTCAGAGTCCATCATGAACATGAGGGAGCAGGTTCTGAACATCTGACAGAAGAGGAAGGGAAGGCAATACTTAGTGTATCTCAATGCAGTATGGCTGGTGGACAACACTTTTTGAGACATCAGGAAAAGCATATTTATATGTTTTGTATCTACAAATCCTTCCCTCCCGCACCCTGTCAGACTAGGAGTGTATGGTAGAAAACATCAAATAGAAGAAAGATGACTGGAAACTCAGAGGAAGGGGAGCAGAAGGGAGAGTCTCTCCATTGACAGCTGCAATTTTTCAGCTACAGGGTAGCTCCCCACTGTTTGCCATTTGTCATTTGGAAGCACTGAACGCCACTTATCATGTGCAAGGCAAGGAAATTGCTCACTTTGTTTTTCACAGCGCTACCTCATATCAACTACTTGTGTCAAGAGCAGGTGCAAACGATTTCCTGTGAGGGACATCCTCCTTGAACAGAATTACTCAAATGAACAATATTCTCAGAGTAATGCACCAAACTCCATTTAGCAGGAAGCTTTGCGCTGCATGCTGCTGGTGGTTGAGAGCTGCGCAAGAGGCAGAGAAGGAGCGAAAATAGATGTCTCGTCAGAATACCCCGGACTTACCAAAGTTGGGGAAAAGTTTGCTCTGGGTTTAGACTGGAGTCTGCCATTTGGGCAGTCCTAGCTCAAAGCAAATAACTAAAATATCTGTGGATGTTGGTTTTGTTGCATTTAGGCCATCAGTGTGTAGAGCATCTGCTGTGCAGAAATGGATGCACGAGTGCCATGGTTTTTTACATACACTGCAGGAGCCACAGCCATGTGTGTTGTTATCCACATACATGTTTACATGTCCTTTGTAACAACAAAGCAACAGAAAATGTTTTTTCAAAGGAACAGAAAGTGTTCAAGAGAGAGAGGTTAGATTTGACAAAACTTTCTTTGCTTAGGTTTCTCTTTACCACAATGGGTTTTTTATTACAAAGTTCTTCAGAGAAGCCAGCATCCCAGAAGCCACGTGCCGACCCAGAAAATGGGAAAGCTAGTTTCAGGCCTCTGACAATTGTGTAGTGGGCTCTCAAATGAAAGCATTATTCTGATCACAATAGGTAGTATTTAAAGTCTTTAAAATAAACATGGATTTTTTTTTTAAATCTTATCCAGTTGTGTCATATACTTTCATACGTATATTGAGTAATGATCTTTAAAAGACATACACAGTGTTTGTTACCACTGAGTCACCAGATACCAGAACACTACAAATATGTGTTTCAGAATTACTATTTTAAAGAACAGTCCAGAAAAGTTGCATCAAGCTAAAATGGGTACCTGCAGAAGAGTGCCAGGTGAATACTCTTCTTCTTCAAGGACAAGTTTAGAACCATACCAAAAGGCTAATGCGTAACTTAGGAAAATTATAAACCACATGTAACCAGTGAATAATCCCATTATTATTCCTTTTCGAATTCCCCAGTGCTGAGCAAACACCAGATTCTTATCGTATCTGTAGAAAGAGAGAAAAATAAAAGGGAATTAAATCAATTTGACAGAAATTTCAAAATGAGCAAAGACCAACAAAACGAGGCATCTTTGGTGACAGCAGAGTGTACACATAAGATTGACACAGAATCGCTCTGAAGTGAGAGATCACAGCTGAAACCAGCAATGCTCCCAGATCATGAAATCCTTGTATGTTCTAAGTGTAACAAGCACAAGAAAAACCATACTCATTGCAGATACCTCACCATGGGGTTTGGAGCTTTAGCAGAGTAACACAGGATTTGACAATTCGGCCAATACTTCGGAGCACATCCTACAGCCATGTTATGCTTTCACAGAATTTAAGAGAAATTTGCAGTTTAACATCATCAAATCATGTCTTGCTGAAACTAGTTCTCTTAATTAGCTTGGAAGTACCTAAATTTTTCAGATGTGCTGTGAAAGTGATATATCAGACAATGTTTAGGGGAAAATTTGACAGTATGTTCCTACAAGTAGGAATGAATTGAAGAGAGCATTGCTGACATTTTATTTCACGGATAAACTGAGTTATAAAACTAATCTTTCAAATGTTACTTGAAACCTAAATTTCTGAAACATAACATGCATATGCATCTCAAAGCTAACAGATAGCCATAGTTGTAGAATATAGAGAATATAATGAGCGTGAATCTGACATGCATTACAGCATTTCAGTGCTTCAGGAGAAAAAAATCAGAGATCTTACAGTTTGTTCAAACAAACCTTTCAACTTCTTTCTTCTCCCCACCAAAAGCAGCCACTGTTCTGATGGATGAGAGCACTTCATCAGCCACAGCTCCAGCTTTTGCATAAGCCTTTAATTCTCGTCCTGTTAGTTTTGCCACAGCCTACAAAAGCATGAGAAGTGCTGGTTACACCTGAACTGCAGGTACAGAGAAGGTCAGTGATAAGCAATGCTGGCTGTCACACTGTGCTGTCTGCTCTGCACAAGGTCACCTCCTGCACTCCAAGCAGGTTTTTATTAGGCACGCTGCACACTCGAACACTCATGTCTTCTATTACTAGGGCATATACCTTTGTAGCATATGTTTTGCAACAGCTCTCTGCCCCAGGTAGCTAGAAAAAGCAGCTGGCAACACCTGCTTTCCCTCCCTGCCTCTCTCTCTGCTGCTAACTGTGCTTAAGCAGATTGCAGACTGAGGGTTTGTGCATAGTGGGAGGAAGGGGGAGTTTAAGTGGCCCTTCAGCCACTGTGGCAGACCCTAGCTTCAGGAAGAAGAGGTAACTGTAGTGATGGGGGAGGATGGAAACAGATGTTGCCCAAAACTGTGCTTTGTTTCTTGGGCTGACAGCAAGCAGGCTCCTGCAGAGCAGCCCAGGGCACACTGGATGCCAAAAGCTTACTTAAACTCAAAAAAATGGATGAAAATGTAGTCATGTACAATTCTACACAAAGATACCACATTGGCTTGAGAATGAGATAACATTAGAAAGTGTAAAGTGTCATTATTTACTTTCCCTCTTCCAATACCCTATTCCATGCATCTATTAGCCACTTTTGGAGATAAGAAACCAGTCTAGATTAACCTTGGGTCTGTTTTCATTATGGTAAAAAACAAAGACTTGGTCTGGAAAGGCTGGTAAGGAGGAAACACTTAACAGTAGGTCTGTGAAAGGAAAGAGGTGGGTACAGAGAATTAACAGTGGAAAGGGGGAAAATTACAGACATAAAGGGGTATTGCAAATGAAGGAAAAGCGTTTGGGGTTTTATTTCATTCCCTGCCAGGATTCTGCTCTCCCACTTCACACTGACTCATTATTCATGTCATCTACTTGCAGCCAGCACAAGGTGCTAAAGGAGAGCTGGAAGACAAGGCATTAGTCAAGGCTATATTAGAGATTTGATAGAAAAATGATAGCAAGCTCTTCCTGAAGTGAAAGAAATTAGATTCTCAGAGGGCTGAGCCCAACAAGAATGCAAAGGAGGAGCAGGAACTACCCAGCCCTGATGGGTGTGGTAGAGGAGGTGAGAGGGCAGTTTCCCTTTTCCCTGTCCTTTTTCTGCACAGTAACAGGAAGTTTGTAGGAAGTGGATGGAGAAGCAGAACAGGAACAACAGGGAGAAGGTGCAGCAGCTTCCAGGAGCAAGGACAGCTTGAGGTAATTTTGAGCAGTTATTTTCAACTATTTTACGTTTCTGAAAATTGATCATTCTCAAAAGTGGCTAATTTACATAGAGAAATCAAGTCCCATGTCTTGTAACCATCTAAACCAGGTGTGCAGTAATAGAGAGAAGGTAAAGGCCAGGTTCTGATCTCAGCAATGATAATATCTACCCACAGGACCCACAAGAAGGTGTGCTTATACTCCCATCTTAGAAGCAGGATATGTCATTCTGGGAAAGCAACAGTGGGAGCAAAGCCCACCTCCCCTCCACACACCCTTTCCTTCCCCTCCCGTCCAGTGCTGCTGTGACCATAATCTGCCTCTCTTGACTTTAAAGGGGTGTAATAGACTTTACCAATCCTCACAGCTCCATGGCATGATCTTCCCTGCCTATTGTTCCTCAAAATGAACCTTTCACAATTCACTTACCAAGCCATAGACAGCCGCTCCAACCCCAAGCAAAGGGCTGACTGCAATGATAACCAAGGTCAATTTCCAGCCACTGACAAATCCCAGTAGGAATCCACACACAAAAGTGGTTATGCGCTGGATAAAGATTGCTGCTTGGTCAGCAATAGCCTCATTAATTTTGTTAACATCACTGGAAAAAATAAAACAACAACAGAAATCAACAGACGATTGGTGAGCATACCTTTTGTTTGTGTTACAGGTCTTGGCCACATTTGGGTTAGTTGCTTTTCCCTGGAGAGGGCTCTTCCTCATCCCTATTCTTTCACCATCGCCCCTTACAAAACCCTGTGCTACAGTGAGAAAGCCTTTGCAGTGGCAGAAGGCTTTTAGACATGAATACTGCAGAGGTGATGGCATCCTTTCCCAGGAAAAGTTGCCCTGACAGCTGACTTATTCACTAGCTGGTTCTTACTTCTCTGCCCAAGATGATTTAAAGGACAAGGCAGATACACCCCAGCTGGATGCAGCTGTCTGATAATGGAAAAACAGCATAGCTGATATAGCATTCCTCACATCATGGGGCACTGAGAATGTACCATACCACCTTGCCAAGGGGACAGGAAAGGGGAAGAGGGCTCTAGCTCTCTTCTAGTTACATCTTCCACCATCTCCCAGTTCCTCCCTCCATCCTGTAAGGTAGTTTATTCTCTAAATGAGAGAGAGAGTGGGAAAATCAAGGAGGGCTACTTTAACACTGGAGGCAGTGGGAAAACATGACAGTTCTATCACATGGAGGACAGTGGTGCAGCAGTTGGCATCATTCAACTCCTAGGCAGTCACAGAGTTCATTTGTTCTCTCTTAGGCATTGCCAATACAGAAAAAGTGTCTTCAAGAAGAAGAGCTAGGAACTCCTGGAATAAACAGTAGCAGGCGGGTACTACTGAGATTTAAAGTGCAAAGTTGTAAGCTCATTGATACATCAAATGAAATTACAGTCCTCTGTTGAAAAATGTAAGAGTGTTGAGTAGAAGAACCATGTTTGTATTTCTTCTGGCAAATGGTTTTGCAGTCAAGAAGCTTTCTGCAGGTCACAGGACAATGTTGTTCAAAACCAAGGGAACTGCTGTATTTATTAGACAAATACATGCTTAGTTCCTACTTTCTCCGAAGAAATTCTTCGCAGTAACTTAAGCTTGCCATTTATTCTTCATGAAAAGAACACCACAGAAAGTAATAGATACCGGTGAGTAAAGGCAAAAAAAATCTCCTTCAGCTACAGAAAAATCTCCTGCAAACGTGACTATTATGCAGGCACAACTGAGAAGAGCCATCTACAGTCGGCATACCCACCCTGCAGCTGCCTGCAGCCTGTAAACAGGAACTACTAAGGAGCAAGCCTTAAACTCTGCTTTTTTCAGGGCTAAATGTTTACCCAGGATGAGACTGTTTCTCCAACTGCCTTGGGTCCATATCTAAAGGTAAGAGCTTGTATCTTCTTTAGCAGAAAACGATTAAGCAAGGCTCACTCTTTCCTTTTAAAATCCAACAAAAGCAAAGTCATGCCCCTAATGTAATATTCCTTTCTGAGAAGTGAGAGAGGGTTCAGATCAACGTCTTCGGACTCAGGGAGTGTGCACTGAGAGCCAAATTACAGATCATTCTGAAAGGCCTGGGCACAGAAGGAGAAGGCAGGAGAAGACAAACAGGAAAAAAAACCCTACCCCAAAACCCATCCAAAAACCCCCCACATTTACTGACAGACAAGGCACAAAAGGGAAATAATTGTGGCTTAACAGTTATGGCACTCAGTTCAAAGACGGGGGAGATAATCCATCTGATTGCTACTCCCAGGAACATAGCTGTATTTGTATTAAAAGGTGCTTGTCAAATGCCTGATTTTTGGCACTCTGTGATGTTTGGAAGGAATTAAAAAATGTTTTCTATAGCATACATTTTTTTCTAGATTACTTACTCAGAAATTCGGGTGTTCAGTTCTCCTACAGATGTACAGTCAAACCAGCCTATATCCATTCTCATTATTTTCCTGAAATAAGCTTTCCTGATTTTCTGTATCTGACGAGCTGCAGACATAACCCAAAAGCAGATCTGGGAAAAGCATAAAGTGGTTGATAAAATGCAGTAAAAAGTCCTTCTACTCCCAACAAATGGGAAAATGCAATTTGGCTAAAATGGGAAAGAGCAATTTGGCTATTGATAAAATTACTATTCAGGTAAAATACATTCTGGCTACATAGACATGCTAGTTGTTTTGATCTTTAAATAATCCAGCAATTTTATATAGCCTGTGGATCAAGCATTTGTCACAGTTCTGGTAGGATGAGAGGAGAGGCAAGTTAAATTATTTATGCTGTTATGTGAATGTCATACGGACAAACTTTTTTCCATCTACAACTGCAAGTAGTACAGGGATGGCAACCATCCTACCTCAGCAAAACTCTGGAATAGTTCTCAGGAAGAAGAATGACAAGTGATTTTTGTTATTATAAAAAGCTTCCGAAGCAGTGGACCCTATGCAGGAGTCGTCCGAGCTTGTGACTCATCTCAGTCATAAGGACTGAACCATTACTACAGAATACATAAGGTGTGATTCTTCTCCAACACCAGTTTTACACAAGTGTTGCTCTGTAATATCTCTATAATAGAAACACAGGGCTCAACACAGTTGAGATGCCTGCTTGGAATCTGCATGCCCTTCAGCTGTTATTGTAGGAGGGCATGTGGATTCCATAGCAGCCACACTTGAGCAAGTATTGCTTGTGGTGAGGGTAAAACTTATCTTTTGCAAAGGTATGCATGCACAAATCCAAGGAACTCTCAGACTGACAGAGCTAACATATTTCAGATGATAGAATGAGAACTTATTGATGATTGGTTAGAATCACGAGGGCATATGAACATGGCTAAGGCTATGGATGAGCTGCTAAAGTATAAAACGCAGTCTGACTAGGCCCATGAGAAAGTCTGAGATAGCAGGGCCATGAGAAAGCAGCAATGACCTTGTGTATTCTAACTTGGGCTGAAAAACAGGAGCTTGGAATTTGAAAAACAAAAGCACTTAACGAGCCACCTGTGTAAACAATGGAAGGCAGTTGAGATGATATCACCTATTAGTCAAGTACCAATTAGGAGCCTAATCTCTGTAATATAGATGAGCCTATTATACAGTGTATATTAAGTTGCTTTCAATCTTCAATAAACGGAGTTCTTGGATCCTTACATTAAGTGTCCAGAGCTTTCCTCCTGCGACAAGAACTGAAAGCATCTGTTCTGCTCAAATAGGTAGCTAGCAGTTAAAAAGAATATATTTAACATAAACTTCATTATTTAGTGATTTAAACTTTGAAATCAAAATAGAAAAAAGAATACTGACTTGGAGGTATCCTAACACAAGTATGGCACAACCAATTCCTGCATAGTATCCTGCAAATCTGGTCATTTCTTGTTCAATATCCAGCAGCCTGAAAAAAAAGGGGGAGAAAAAAATGAGTTAGCAATACTGTTTTAAATTTGATTTCTAGTCTGGTGTGTCCTCAGGTTAGAGTCAGATCAGCTGGCAAATCAACTTGTTTTGCTAACAGAGGCTATCCCTACCAGGGGCTGGAATCCTTGCTCTGCCTGTTGCACAGGGCCAGGGAGCTGGTAGGGACCAGAAAATGCTCTGCCATCCTGCAGTCTCTGGGAAACCCCCCAGATTGCTCCAAAAGAGCACAGGTGAGCAGGGGTTTCAGAGAAAAACTGCAAAACAAGTTTTCATTAGATGTTGAATATGCTTGCTTTCTGCCATTATACCAGGTAATAACACTCAGATTTCAACATGGGGAGAAATGAGGGCTGCTAAAGTCAATTCAAATATTACTTCAAATATAAGTTTCTAATCTGAAATGATTATTTGTTTTTGTTACTCAAGTAGGAGTGTTAAATTACTCATAATATCAGTGAAGGGCACTGAATTGCTGCTTTTGCATTTAGGTTACTTTGAAATAGGCATTTAAGGTTGTTTTAGGTTGTTCTTTTAGATAACTTTTTACAAACATCCTGCAGACAGCAAATTCTATTCTATTTACCCAAAATTTTGCACACAGAACTTTTAAGCCAAAAGGGAACACTGTGCACCTGACTTGATCTCTTGCAAAAACCAATCATGGAAGCAACTCAGCTGCCTGACACAGATATCCAGTACAATTTTTCATGTTTAATCAAGATCACGAAACAGATCCTCCTAGAAATTGTGCCAAGGCACATGATAAATAAGGAGGTGGCTGGTGACAGCCAACGTGTCTTCACTAAGAGCAACTCCTGCCTGACAGATTTGGTGGCCTTCTATGACAGGGTTACAGCTTTGGTGGCTGAGGGAAGAGAGACTGACATCATCTACCCAGAGTTGTGCAAAGCATTTGACGCTATCCCGCATGACACCCTTGTCTCTAAGCTGGAGAGAATGCAGATGGACCACTTGGTGGATGAGGAATTGGCTGGATGGTCACACTCAAAGAGCTGCGGTCAACAGCTCAATGTCAAAGTGGAGACCTGTGATGAGTGGCATTCCTTAGGGGTTGGTACTGGGACCAGGGCTGTTTCAGATTTTTGTCAGTGACATGGACAGTGGGATTGAAGGCGCCTTCAGCAAGTTTCCTGGTCACACCAATCTGTGGGGTGTGGTTGACATACAGGAGGAAAGGGATGCCATCCAGATGGACCTCGACAGGCTTGAGAGGTGGGACCGTGGGAACCTCATGAAGTTCAACAAGGCCGAGTGCAAGATCCCACACCTGGGTCAGGGCAATCTCAAGCATAAACACATGTGGGGCTGGGGCTTGATTGAGAGCTGCTCTGTGGAGAAGGGCTTGGGGGTGTTCGTTGATGAAAACCTTGATGTGACTCAGCAGTGCGCACTCTCAGCCCAGAGAGCCAAGTGTGTCCTGGGCTGCATCAAAAGCAGTGTGGCCAGCAGGTCGAGGGAGGTGATTCTGTCCCTCTACTCCACTCTCACGAGACCCTCACCCGGGATGCTGTGCCCAGCTCTGGGGGCCCCAACATAAGAAGGTCATGGACCTCCTGGAGTGAGACCAGAGGAAGGCCATGAAGATGATGAGGGGGCTGGAGCACCTCTCCTATGAAGACAGGCTGAGAGAGCTGGGGCTGTTCAGCCTGGAGAAGAGAAAACTGTGCAGAGACCTTAGAGCACCTTCCAGTACCTGAAGGGAGCCTACAAGAAAGCTGAAGAGGGACCTTTTACAAGGGTATGGAGGGATAGGACAAGGGGCAATGGATTTAAACTGAAATAGGACAGGTTTAGGTTAGATATTAGGAAGAAATTCCTCACTGTGAGGGTGGTGAGGCACAGGAAGAAGGCGTGGATTTTTCATCCCTGGAAGTGTTCAAGGCCAGTTTGGATGGGGCTTTGAGCAACCTGATCTAGTGGAAGGTGTCCTGTCTGTGGCAAGGGGGTTGAAACTAGATGATCCTAAGGTCCCTTCTAACCCAAACCATTCTATGGTTTTATGACTGTATCTTGCCTGGTGTGCAGTTGCTGCTTCAGAGGAACAGAGGTCTGTAGCAAATCCTGTGTTCTATCTGCCAGCCCATCTCAGAAGGCTGGCTTGGACAGACTAGAGCAAGTAATTTGGCCCCAGTCACCTCTATCTAGGTATGTGAATCACTTCCATGTGCTGTGAATTTCAAAGACCTTTAGAAAGTGACTTTTAATTCTAATTAAATATCTCATTAAGTGTGATTCAAAGATTAGAAAACTCTTGGAATGATGCACTGAAAAATGACTTTAAGGAGAGGTTACAGGGTCAAACTTGGCTTTGACAGATGTGTATCTGAATGAATCATCTAGACTCCATTTATTATAGCTCCTGGAAAGAAACAGGCTGTCTTATATGGTAGTTCACCTGATCTGCCTCAGAAATCCACCATAAGGTAATGAATTGTATTCTAGAAGTGCTCATTTCTCTCAATGACGAGTTAACTAACTTGCTCAGAAGTCATCAGGCACTATAGGTAACTAAGTCCTAACTAGAATGACCAGAAGTCATTATTATCTAGAGTGTAATCAGTAAAATAGATTAATGAATTCAGATATATAATATGTATATCTATTATCAGAACAATCATAATCAAAGAATATTCTTGCTGACATCTATAGCTGAAAGACCAAGACCCAAGCTGACCTTCTGTCCCTCTAGATAATATCTCCAGCTAAGTAATAGGACTCTGTAATAAGAACCATGCCCCTTTTCTGCCTTATGAATTGAAAATTTAAGATTTAAAGGCTGAACAGGACCCTCAATAGCAATGCATTCTCTGACAAACTATAATAACAATGGAAAAGAAACAAATACATTCATTACTTACCCACATCTTACTGTGACGTTCTTTTCATTCTGATGAATAGTACCATTAATCCACACTACAGTGTTATTTACACATGTCTTGTTTGGGTCTTTAAGCTCTTGCATTTCAATGTCATATTCAATAAATGTGTCTGCCATTGCACCAAACACAAGCAACACAGCTGGTTGGGCTATTCCATGAACAATAGCACAGAAACTACCAACAACCATCATTAAAATCTCGGTAGATGAAGCAAATCGAAACTGAAGAGAGAAGAAAAAATATGGTCTCCGCTGAGAGGCAGTCTTCATACTGCTTGTATACTGATAAATCATTAATTAGGTGGATCAGATAAAAAACCATTCTCTTTAAACTTCAGAATTATCTTCAATACAAAAAAAAGACAAATCTCTTCAATCTAATCTAATTGCATCTGTGATTACAGCCTCATAAATTATTGAGCTCCCTTTTAACATGTGAATGAATGTATTATCATGTAACATTAAGAGCTCAGTATTGTTCCACATTATCATCATTGCAGAAACTAGCTAAGAGATTAAGAATAGTAACTATAATTCATAGAGGGAGAGGGAAGGGAGGAAAAAGCCTTGGGGCATTATGCAGAGCCTCTCAATAGAGTTTGAGAGTTTCTCAAAAGTCTGAGGTGCTTTGGTGGAAATCCAACTGAACATCTCAGAGCAAGTTCTCATAGTTAATATTCTAAAGCCTGTTGGCTGAGCCAGGCAGTTATGCATTGGCTCTTAATCTGGGAGAAATGTATAGAAATATGACATAGTATGCAGCAAAAAAAGAGACTGAGCTAAATCCTATTACCTTACATTTGCTATGGGCTAAGAGTGTGCACACGTGTAACTGGTCACTTGGCAAAGATACAGTGATTTAAGTTACCTTTTTCATGATTTTTTGAAGTTTGATTCTCTGGCTGAAGTCAGGAACAAATATATAGTTTAAACTGTCCATATAGAATATCAGTTTCAAATACTAAACATTTTGAAAGAGGAGAGTAAAGAGAAACCATAGCCTGTTGAAGAACCTATCCAGGTTCTGTAGGTGCTACAATGTGTCTAAGAGAAGAAAGGGTGGAAATTTGAAGCACATATGGAAAAGGGACCTTAGGGCAAAGACAAGATACAGTGAAAAGCAGTTAACACAAAAGAGAAATTAATAAAAGGTCTTTCAAAAAAAAAAAAAAAAAGAAGTCAGAAGAAAACTGTAACACTACTACTGTTCTGCAAACCTTGCTCATAAGAAATCTAAGAATTCCCTTGTTTAAAAAAAACTCCACACAGAAAATGCACAGATATGTGGTATCTGGTCTCTCAGCACATCTGAGGCAAACATACTGTGTTAACCCACTGCTCTTTAAATATCTGTGCAAAACTCCCTATGGAATTCAAACCTCTCTGCTTGAAAGAATAGCCTTCTCTGTGGACAGACTGTTCTCTCCACCCAACTAGGAGCTGAGATACTTAGCCAGGTACAGTACAATGAATGTAACTGCACTAGCCCAGTTTTACAGTCAGGACCATATTAGTCTGGACACACTACAGGCTAATTGCCCAGACTACATCCAAAACAGAAGTAATAAGACCTCTTAGCTGCATGCTGCAGCTGCAGGGTTGGACATCTCTTGACTACATTAATTTTAAAATATATGTGCACCCTATGGAATTACATCAAAGGCTAGACATACTATACGTTATTGTGCATCCACAAGTTTCTATAGCTACCAAATCTTCTAATACACACGGAGCAATTACAAGGGAGCTAAATTATCTGCCAAATATCACACAGTAAATGTTTGGCAGAAATAAGAATGAACCAAGGTCACCTAGATCCCTGTTCTGAATCTTACCTCATTTCCATGTATCTACCTGTAGGTTTAATATAATGTTTTTAATAGGCAATTTTGACATAAACATCGATTATCAATACCAAACTGACAAGATAATAAAGGGTTCTATTAAATTCCCATTGAATTTATTGGCAGGATTTCAGGCCAAAAGATTTAATCCTTAAAAGTTTGGCTTAGTCACAGCTATTCCCCAAAACCATATTGGTTACTGTCACTTATTCTGCAGCACAATACACATCAAATATTTATAGCCATTGCTTTCATTACCAGCTGAAAGAAGCCAACACGAACACTGTTTTCTTTCTTCTTTGATGACCTTTCAGAACAGAAATATAAAATTATTAACTTATATTTTAGAACATATTTTGTTCTATACGTAAATATAAAGAATTGAACTTAACTCACTTTTCACTTTTCTTCTCTATAAAAGGTTCTTCATATGTATAGAAATTCCTGGCAAAAAGGATAAGATTATTACTTATACTTACATTATTATATTACTTACATTATTACTTTTAGTCTCTTGGTTACTTCTCTGAAATTACATTTTGTTGAGACATTTTCCCCAGGTTTATACTTTGTTTTATAAACAGCTCCTCAAAACACTGTTGCTATAATGGGGATTGTGGGTTCTCTGAGGTCAGTGAGAGAAAAACATACCATCCAAATTGTTGGCTAATCCTTTCTTTAAGAGAGACAAAAGTCCTGTTCCCATTCCTTCTTACATTGCCTGTATGTTCATATTGCCATAGTGCAATAGAATCTCTTACCCTATCAGAGTTGGGTTGATTTTTTTTCCTCAGTGCTCACATTTTGTATAATCAGTTAAATCAAAAGGACTAGTTGCACTGTTATGGATGGGATCCATACATAGCAAGTAATCATCATCAGGTGTGTACATTCAGTGATGAATGAGTAGGGATATTCTATTTGTGGTGGGTTGTTTTGGTTTGGTTTGGGTTTTATTTGTTTCATTTGTTTTTATTTGATTTTTAATGAAACAAATTAATTCAAGCTGTATTTGTCATAAACAGTTTTTAGAAACCAGGTCCTGGAAAGCCTGAAGGAAGCTTTCCTTCAGGTATGTAGGACCGTATGTGTGTTATGTGTAACAAAGTCCAACAGAACTTGGGTTTGAAGATAAGTGGGAAGACATGGTAGACCTTGAATATTGGGTTGCTGCTCTCTTAGATGGGCAACCTGATAAAGACAAAAATTGAGATGCTCTAGCTTCTACATTTTAGAAGTAGCTCTCAGACCGTGTACGCTGTGTCAGAAAGAGCTGGCTCAAATTATAGCACCCATTGTCCAGCCTGCTACAGAGTTGTCCAAAGGTCTAGAAAAGAGCAGGCTCTTAATCCCACTTGGATCTCTGATTATAGCTGAAGGTCAAATTCTCTTAATCACTTCATATTTTAACTATCCGGAATTCTACGTTTAAATCTTAATATCTGAGCTCAAATGAAGTGAGCAAATTCCTTTTGTTTTAAAACCTCACAGTTAAGCTTTAAGAGAAATTAATCAAGATTGATTAAAATTCCTGAAAAACTCATTTCTCAAACTAAAAGCACTGAGGAAAGATAAATTTGAATATCAAAAACATTTTCCAAAGGAAGACCGTGTTTTGCTGGTGCTTTTGTTTCTAAAGGTTTCCAAGACTCTTTAGTCTACCTGTTTCAGTTGTATCAAATAAGGCAGTTCAGCTGCAAGAGAACAGCTTTTTTAAAAAAAAGTCATATATTTTGTCAGTGTGCCAATTTGATCCGATGACATTAATTTCTTTGAATATTCCTAGAAATATTGATTGTTCCGTTCGTGTACATGACTTACTCTGATTTCTTCAAGCTGTTACCTGTTAGGGAAAATAAATGCACAGTCTAGTTAATAATTATTGTAAAAGTACATACTCTTCTGTAGACATGTGAAATACAAACCCTAGAACCCCATGGGACCTGATCATTTCTAGGTTATAAACATCATATTCCCACTAATACATATAGAAACCAGGGATATGGTTTACATTAAATACATTATTCAGTACATTTGTCAAAAGTCAACTCCTTTTCATTGCAAACTGTTTGCTAATATTCAACTGGTTCTCTTGGGATTGGTCTCATCAAGAAATACTACTCTAATGTCATTCCATGCATACTTCCTGAAAGGAGGATTGGTAGCTCTAGGAAGCTAGGAAGGGGAAAAAATCACTTTATCTCAGTCTAGTATGATTTGCTTTATTTTATTTTTGTTGGTGAAAAACAGTTCCAGCAGAGAGGCACTGTCTTTCAACATGAGTCTTCAGTTTCCTGGAGGTGATCTGTCATAAAGTATTTCAAGGGAAATAAAACTGCATGCTCTCTATTACTATCCAGCTTGATTGTTCTAACAACACATCTGAATATTTAAAAGATAACCCAAGATAAGAAAGCGTCCCTCCTCCCAAGCTGTTTTGTTCAGAGCTGACTCAAGAACGCTTATTTGGATGATGAAGCAGGTGAAATTGGGGTTGATTGTCACATTTGTAAATCCCAGTAAGGCCCTCATTCAGAACACAAGCTATTTCATGCATGGTTTTAAGCTTTTCACTCACAAATGTTTTTAATGAAAGTTTAAACACTTCTAGGATTAGGCTGCCGCTGTCAGGGAACTTGAAAATACAAAATGCATGTATGCTTAGGGAATCTGGTGATATTTGAGTACTGGAATGCTTTTGAGAACACTTTTTACTCTATGTGAGGAGCAAGTACATTGCCATTCATTGCAATTTATCTTCCACTGTGGGCTACTGTTTTGTTTTCCTTTGAACTTTACAATCTGTATAAATATTTAACACCCTCTTTTTTGATGGCTTTTCTCAAGTCATATAAACAGAACTGAAAATATTTAGCAGTTTCTCTTCACATTTCTCCTTGACTCTTGCTGCATTTAGACTGGTACAATAGAAAAATGGACATTGCAAAGGAAAAATGGAAAAAAGGAGGACAAGCTCTGATGAGAAAAAGGAATGCAGATCTTCACTTAGCATTAGTTTATAAGAATTCTGCCTATTATAAGTATGACTACAAATAAAAGTGTTTGCTGAAAGAAACTATGGAAGACAGCACTTTTATTTCTTTTTCACAATAAAAGCCTTTTACTTGTACACCAAAGAGCTGAGCATAAAAACCTATGTAGATACCTTGAAATTGTTAGTTGATATGTAAATATCGTCCATGAGTAGGGATTTTTATACATAGTTTTTTACAGAAAAGTTGTTTTGCAGGCAGCATACCCGTAACAGCAGATACCATATAACTCTATATTTATTCCACAGACAGTTTTCTTTGTATTCTGTAGACTATTTGCTTCACTTAGGCCACCCACCATCTATTTCACATGCTTTATAAAATAAGGAGGGGACTGAAGAATAAACTTCTTACATTTACCATCCAAGTCGAAAGCATGGTTATCCTCTCCCAATCTCTTGATGCTACGCAGAACAACTGGGTCAGACATGATGATTATTTACTTCAATCAGAAGTCCTGAAAAGAGACGGTGGGAGGGAGAGGAAGAATATCAGTATACATTTGTCTGCAAACATAAAACAATATTATGTTAAACTTCTACTTACCTCAGTTTTGCCCTCATGATCCCAGGACGATGCTTGGGATTACTGGGATTACAGCACTGACTACACCACGAATTATAACAGAATAGCTGTGATAGACTCAGTGAAACTACAGAGTAGAAAAACACCTCAGAGAAGAGGGCTCAACTCACCCCAGAGTGCAAAGCCTCTGACAGGCTTCAGTGCCTCCTGCCTTGAGCAGAGCTGTTCCCAGGGCTTGTCAGCCACTGCAAAGAGCCCTGTCTCCATTAATGGCTCTGTTAAATAAACTACTGCCTTTGTGTGGGTGACGTTTTTAGGCAATAGACTGAGATATTAACACGACAGGTCCTGCCTCACTTATATGGGAGCAGCAGGCAGGAGACCTCCCCTGCCTTGTGCTGTCCCAGGTGTCAGCAGCCAGCAGGACCATGACAGGGGACAGCTGGGGGACAAGGGTGGATGGGGGGGAGGCCCCAGAGCCACACCGACATCTGCATCATCACCACCACAGCAGCACTCCCACAGCTCTTGGCTACCAGACCTGTTCCTCTGGACAGTTTTATTCCTAACTATTCACACTAACATGCTGAGCAGATGTCATACATGAGAAGAAATAAGAAGACAAAGTTAGTACTTTTTTGTTAAAGAAGCACTTCTGTGAGGCAAAATCTGCCAGTAGCTAGGCCTGGCATCCAAGATGGTGCCCAGGGAAAAGTGCTGCAGAAGCCCTCCCCAAAACATGCCCTTTCACAACCAAAGTCATCTCATCCACATCTTTGTTTAACGTAATGTGTCCCAAAACATAGTTACAATATCTGCTTCCAGTCTTCAAACATCAACATTTGCATGATTATACTTCTGTATAAACCTCTCACAACCTCTAATTTCAGGCATATTGCAATGCGTTCGGATAGCAAAACTTCTGTGTAAAAGACACATTTCCATAGATTACTTGCGTTACACCACCTGACTTCCCAGCCAGCTGGGTTACTACCTACTGAGCCCTCTAAAGGAATTGCTTCTTTCCTTTTAGTAGCATTAAAACTACCTAAATCCTTCATATTGGCAATAGCTGTGTGATTAGCTACAGCCAGGCAGTTCCTTATAAGTGGGAAGGACTAAGAAGCAGATTGGCTTTGAAATTACCCCAGGATGAAGGAAATACACTCATTCTTAGATCAAAGTGGAGTAACATAAGGGTCTAATCCAGTGGTTCAGGGTGCATATGTAACTTTTAATAATTTCACTTCCCATAATTGCCCAACCTTTCATTTTTTTTTACTTTTCAATTTGGCTTTCAAGAACCGCTGACTCCCAACTCCAACTCTTTTTACCCTTTTCCCCTGAATTTTATGTGTACATCCCTTGGCACATCACTAAAACATCACTAAGTCACACTGGAAAGACCAAACTCTCTTGAATAATTTTAAGAATCTAATGCAACATTCAATTATTCTTATTTCAACTAATCTTAACTAACTTTAACGATCAAAGATGTCTGAAGCACTCCCCTGACAATTAGTGCTTCAGTATCCTTCTTGCTAACATATTTTTTTTCCTAATGTATAATCTGAATATCTTACTTCTTGTGCACCAGGGAGATGAAACATAATATTCCTTTTCACTTTGTAAGTAGGCTGTATTTATTTTAATAATACTAGAAAGTCACCCTCTTCAGATAAAGAAAGCAAGTCATTCAATTTTCCTTGGTAGAGTATATTTCTTAAACATCTGATAATTTCCACTGGTCTCCTCTGGATTCTAGTACATCTTTAATGAAGTGATGAGTGCATAAGAGCACTACAGCACCAGTCTTACCAATACTGGACAAAGGAGAAAGATTATTTTCCATGTCATGGATTACATTCCTGTTCACACAACCCAGTATGACATTTGGGTTTTTAACAAACTTATCACATTGTTGATTCGCATTCATGTAATCCACCATAGCCACTAAATTTTTGCAATTTGCTACAGAGTCAGTTGCTTTCCAAACTAGGTTTTCACATTTGATTAATCCTGCCTGATATTGTCCATACTTAATTGCACCTTACATCCTTCAGCCCATTTTACCTGTTTGTTAAGGGGATTTTGACTTCTAGTGCCATTCTTCAGGAATATATGCAGAACATACCTGCAGTCTGTCCTACCTTTATGTCACGACTGAATTTAACAAGCATATTCTCCATTGTGTAATCCACATAATTATCAATATTACTGGATTATACCATTAAAAAGACAGACCTCTGCAGAACTTCATTTAGCGCACTCATTCATTGGGGCACTGGTTCATTGATCACTACTCTATGGGTGTAGTTTTTCTTGTCTAAAAGTTTCTGATGAGCAGAGACAATCTACTCATCTGCTCGTCAGTAAATTCTGACCCCCTCACATTTTGTGACCCCCTAAATTGTGACCCAAATTCTCTTCTTAAGTAAATGTGTAAAGCCAAAGAACCATCGCAATAGCAAAATGTCTGGCCAGGACTAAAACAGTTACGTAGAACATAAAATCACAGGAGTTTTTAATTAATCCCCATATACAAATGAAAAATTTACAATTTTAGTCATAATTTCTCCATTCTCTGAGACAGATGGCAAATGAGCTGAACAAGTTATGGTACTTCCTAAGCTGCAGTCTCTACCATGTGCAAATTTCCAAGTTCTCTTTCTGCTTCTGACCAGAAATAAAGGAAAACATCATCAACATATCACTGCTTCACATGGGATCTATATACAATTCATTAAATTTCACTTCAGCTGGATTTGTATCAAACATATGGAAGAGGATTTAAAAAGGGCTTAATTTCCAGATTATATTATTCAGTTTATATTGAAATAAAGGTAGGTTTCCCAAAAGAGCAAGCATATCCTCCTGAGAGCTTCAAGTCCCTTGAGATTATGTTTTCACTGAAGATGAGAGTGATAATTTTCCCCAAGTGAGAAAAGAATTTTCACTCACTTTTTTAGTGAAAACACAGAACATATTCTCCTCCTTTCTGCCTTTTGCTGTGTTGGATTAATTGAAATAGTTTCAAACAGAAGATCTCCGAAACCTGTTCAAATCACCCTAAAGTTCTAGAAGTTTCTTAAAAAGAAGTTTCTCAGCCAGTTCATTTTTGGCAATTTTGTCAGCGATCACATTCTCAAAATAATTTGTTTTTACATGTCAATTCAGTTGTGTGGTTGAAGCTGGAGATTTGAAAACAAAGACTTTCTGTTCCATTTACATGGAACTTTGACAGTGGTAGCACAGACTGGGGAGCCTTTCACAGTGATGTGATTTTAAGGAAAATGCAACTTAAATATGCAATTGCCCTAAGGTTAGCCAGGTGTTTTTTTTACCTTAAGTATAGGTTTTTATGAAGGACACAGTTGAAAAAACCGCGAATCAACAGATTGCTCAGAAAGCCATTAGTGTAAGAAAAATATGCAAATCATAATATTTGTATCTGTTAAAGCTTTTCAAATTTTTTGTTCAAGTAGTTAAGCATTATTTGCTGAATTAATAATACCCAGTAGATACCAACTGCAACCATATTGTCATATTTTCTACTGCAAAAAAATAGTTTGCCACAACAGTAATTTTAGTAGCAATTTGTTATTAAACGTGAAGGCATCATTTGCAGCTCTATCTAGTACTGACTGCTTCGCACTGCTTAGCACCCAAGTGATGTTACTGTATAAAGAAAGCTGAGCTACTACACAAACTGCTGACCTTACAATGAAATTAGTATAATGGGAAATGTCACCTGGATTTTGAATATGTGTTTGGCTGGAGTAAAGAAGCAATGTTCTTACCTGTTCTGCTATCAAAAGAAATCCAAACTCTAAGGGTGGTATTTACAAACACTTTTTAGCAGCTTCAAAATACTTCATGACTCACAGAAGTATAAACCTATTTAAATTAAATGATATAAACCATTTGAACCATCCTACTGAGTGTGGATCCCAGTGAAAAGCCATGAAGTGTTTAAAAAAACACCTCACTACAGTTCTGCTTCAGAAAGATAATGCATAATGTCATACTATAAAGTGATGAAGGCTCAAAAGTAAATTAAAGCAAAGTCACTCTCTGCCTGTCCTTTTTCAGCTACTTGTTATTTGACTCTGTTACTAATATTCTACTCTGCATTTTAACACTATAAAATGTATTTTGTAACTGATTTTTTAAGCCCGAATGCTGACATAGTTTTAAACAGGAATAGTGGGGAAAAAAAACCAATAATTGGTAGACTTGAAAAAGAATTCTAGTTACAAAGACTTGCTAGAGCTAAATTTTCTGGAATTATGTCACTTTTCCAATAAAATTATGACTGTCCCACATTTTTGAAAGGAAACATATTTTTCCTATTTTTTCTAAAGCTCAACACATCAAATACTATCCTGTCTGGTAGGCATCATTCATTAGCTTACTGAAACAGATTAGTATAGCAGATAAGCTGTATTAAATTATTAAAATAACCTTCCTCAGTGTCTGAATGTTTAACTGGGGATCACTTAGAACATATTGAAAAATACTGTTGCTGATGTCTGCATTTAAAATGATAGAGATAGTATAACGCATAAGATTATTCTATCTACCCATGTGTGTGCAAAATACAACCTAGGAGCAGAGAATACCTCAGAAACTGCACTGAAGTGAAATAGCATCTTAACCTAGCCCAATACAGTATGGCTGCTGGATTTTTGATAAACAAAAATCTTTAAGGAACTCAAAATCTAGATTTAAATAAGTAATACTTGAAAAATGTTAACAAAGGAATATATCCTGTGAATGAAGCAACATTAGGACCTCATCCAAAGCCCACTACAATCTATTTCAAATAACCTCTTTATTCAGATTAAGATCTTTATTTAATATAAAAGGGAAGAAGGGAGAGAGAGAAAAACAATGAAAATTGGCCCTGCAAGCGGTGTTCTTCATGTTTCTTTAAACCTAGGTTCCTCAGATATAAATAATACCATATAAGCAGAAAGACATTTTGCTTCAAAATAAAACTTGTCTTGTTCTTCAAACAGTTCTATTAAAACAAAACCTCCAAAATTTAAAACAAACAAACAAACAAAACCAACAACAACAACAACAAAACACTAACTTGCAAAGAGAATGCAGCATTTAGCTTAAATTGTCCCAAAGAAAAAAATACACATACTCTTCAGTTCAGGAAGTTTCATCAGTTAATTCTGAAATATTAAACATGATAGATTTGTTACTCACCCGTGTCTGTGAAAAATCATAGAATCACAGACAAATTGCAAGGACCCTGCTCAATTAGTCAGTGAAGCTCCCAACCATTTCCCAGCATATTTTCATTATTCTAACCCATTTGTCAGAACTGAATTTTTAAATTGGGCATTGGCTATTTGCACCTGGGTCAATAACCACACGGTCACAATGTTCACAGTTCATTGACATCCAATGGAGTGTTTAAATTTGACTAATGCAATCCCACAACATAAAGTCAGGGCACTTGGAAAGCAATTATACTTGAGGAGACCAGACATTCTCTGGAAAACAACTCACAATTAATTATTATAGCATTATTTTATCAGCATTAGTATCAAATTACTTTATTTGCCAGGCAATAATTTTGTACACTATTATCCCTGCTATAAATTGCAACACCAGGTGAATAACACAACAATTTGTTCAGAGATTAAGCTAAATTCACATTAAAAACTTGCTCAAAAGCTTTGTTTTCTAACCCACAGCTTGCCTTTCTCCCCATGGCTTCTAATTTTTTACAATTTTTCCTTTGAAATTAAGATTTTACAGCCTGAGTAGTAGTGAATTCTAGTTGGAGATGAGCCCTCCATGGACTTTTCAATAAGGGACACCGATGAGGACAATGCTGTCACCTCAGACAATAACGACACAGAGTTTAGAGGGAAATGGCAGGCAGGGTTTAGTTCCTCTCTGAATTCAGCTCTTGCTACAGAGGGCCTTGACTGATAGGACAAGATAGTAAGACAGTGTTTTAGTCATAGTGACTGTCAGCTCTGCTCGACTCGTCTGTGCCCTCAAACTTTCCATGATAAAGCCTCATGCCCAAAAGTGCATCACGATTAAATGCTAACCAGAAATCCGGTCTTCCTTGTTCAGCATCATTATTGTGTTCACAGTGACAGCATAACTAAATGCAAAACTGGTGCCTTTTCCCACCATCTGTACCAATGAACAAAGCATAGCTTTGAGAATAACACTATCTGAGATAACGTCACAGTGATAATCATCTGCTCCACCACAGCACAGAGCCAGAGGAAAAGAAAACAAGTTAATTGCAGTGCAGGGCATGGAAATGAAAAGGCTGAAATAAATTTAAATGGTGGAGCAGATTTATTCACCTTTGACAGCTTCTTGAGGAGCAAGTTGGCCAAAGGTAATTCAATGCCTTTGCTCTTCAAAGTACTTGAGCAGAGCTCACATGCACTTGCACACAAAGTCATCCAGCACCTCCAGAAAAGATTTGGTTTGCCAAAGACAGAATATAATTTTAGCTTTACACAAATTACTTTGGTCTTAAAAACTTTGCTCATCTAAGCATTCATAAAGTGTGTGCAGAGCGTGTTCCAAACTGCTAATGAAGCAGGTTACGGCAGTGATGAATTGGAGCTAAGACCATAAGCTACTACAACCCTTTTGAAGGGCTCTGCTGCCTTGTAAACCTCTGCTTCTTTCATGTCATCCTTACAAAAAATCCTGAAGATTGATAAATTCTGACCTGACTTTATGACATCAGCCATAAAAATGAATCTCTGGTGAAAAATCACCCATTTGTGTAATATCAAAGCGGAGAATATAAAGCACTCAGTTCTGGTCCCACTCCCACACAGTCATCTTCATCTTTTACAGCTGCTAATGGAAAAATTAGCCAAATCCACTCTATCTCCTCAAGTCCTCTTGTACTTTGTTTCCTTTTGTCCTTTCCAAAGATCTTTAGCAAGGGTTCTACAAGGAAACCTCTTTTTTACACTTAGGAGCAAGACTTCTTTTGATGGCTTTTATCATTTTTACTGCAAACAAAAAGCTGTACATTGATAAGAAATCCATTTCCTTTTTTTTTTCCTCAATCAAACTACATTTATTCATACTGAAATGGGGAATAGCAGACTCTTCCCTTACAGTGAAATCAGGAAAGTACCTAAGGGCACAATGTTTCTGTGAACGTGACTTTCTCTTGTTATAAAAAGTAAAAACTCCAAGTCACTGACTGATGGGAGCAGACACCTCCATGTAGGAGGCTGGCTCAAAGAAGGAAACAAACTAATTTCTTCTCTCATGGTCTAAATCATGATCAGAGACACCATGTCATAGTATGTTTATTTCTTGGTCACAAAAATATGCTATACCGAAACTAGAAAATACTGCCTGGAGTGGGTGCAGCAGGGAGGCCAGGACGTAAGCAGCAAGGGACTTACCTACCTCTAGTAACTTGTCTTGTTTCTATACTTAGCCTCTCACCATCTGCTCTTGGAAATTACCAGAAGCAGGACATGCACTTATTATCCCATTGATCCTACCCAAGTCTGGCAAGTAGTAAGGATTTTTTCTAAATTCCAAATCCTTCTGCAAGTAAAAATAGCAGAGATAGCAACAACACTTCCAAAAAAACCCACCATAAATTTTAAATGCAAGTCATAACTTTTATATCCAAATTAAGTGATTCACCGTGTTAAAATAAATTTTCAAAAAGACATTTTTCAGAGTGCTTGCCCCACCCTCTGGGCAACCAGCCCCACCTCACCTGTTCCTGTCAGAAGCTGGCATGTCCATGTGGGCCTGCCTCTCCCCTGTGCCTCATTTTTCCCAATCACTCTTGAATGCCACAAAACAAACACCTTTAGGGCTTCTGATCACTCATATCACTCTCCCTCCTGGAAATTACAGAAAAATACGTTTTTTCTTGATGAGCCCTTTGGTTTGTTTTTGGTTTTTTTTAGTTTTGGTTTGTGGCCCCTATAAAAAATTGTAGGTGGATGTTTACATTGCAAAGTTGGACCACTGTGGATGGGCACTGGACCTGTCAGTCTCCCTGGCAGGCTGGAGTTAGAAACTAACTGAAAACCTTGTAATTTCAGCACTCTTATTAATCTGACATAAAGTCCCACACGCCTGTTGCCATGGCAAAAACAGGTCTTTTCCTTCAGTATAGCTAAATTGGCTTTTATTTGTATTTATTGACCAGATTGCATATCAAGCCAAAACTCTGTTTTGTTTATGTTAATTTACTAATTATAGTTTATAGTAGGGTGTGATGAAATACAGGTCTGCCTTTTTCTCCAGAGGGGCTGTTCTCAAAGTCTCTCCAACCCTGAGCCCCCGGGTTGCTTTCATGGCCAGACCTGTACGGGCTTTAGCAGGCAGGAGATACATCCCAGGACAGGTAGGTGTGGGAGAGCAGGAAAACAGTGCCTCTGTGCCAAGGAGGGCAGATTTCTGTGAGGCCTCCAGAAGCAAGACTGGCCCTGGCTCTGACATGCAACAGCCACAGACTACCCAGAGTGCTAGTCAGCTGCAGGTGAAGGAGGGCTGCAAAATCCCAGCAGAGTGAGGGATATTATAAAGAGAATGGTAATTTTAGTAAGTGTTGCAAGAGAAGGAAAGCCAGCCTTTGTGCTGGGTCTGCTATGCATGCATACATACGCCATAGAAAAAATTTTCTTGTCCTAAAGGGATTCTGAAATACTACACAGGGATGGCAGCTACCTAATCACTCCTTCATACTTTATTCAACACTGACGCTGCAGAGGAAGTTAAGCAACAAAAACTAGCATCTCTCAATTGGAACTTCTGCAACACGCTGGGTAACTTCCAGCCAGCACAAGAAGCTGCATTTCACCAGCATACATATTTACATAAAGTACCATGAATGGCCAAGGGCTTCCAATAAAAATGGAGATATATTTAACCTCTCATATCAGAGCAGAAAGCAGATATACAAGAATAAAATAAAAGCAGTGATCTTTTTCCTATTATTATGTTTAAAAATGTCAGGTGTTTGCAATTTCCTTTTAAATTAATTTGCCAGAGGAGAACTTGACCATAGTAAATGCAACTTCATTGCATCTTGCTCTGCAGAGATGGACTGTCTGTTAGCAATCTCTAAAAAGATCTGTACTCCTTTAAATCTATTTAGAATTACTTTTTTAGTCAATTGCATTAGGCATCTCCTGGTTTTCAGCCATGAGCATTCATGAAGAAGTGTAACTGAACTTGTTTCTCTAAGCAGAATTTCATCCATCATCAGTAGTTACTTATAAGTTCACTATTAATTCAATTGGAGTATAATCCCAGATATGCAGGCTCTTCCCAAACATATTTTTTCAGTATTGATGTTTTCACACTGCCTGAGCTTCAGTCCAGCAGATGAAGGGCTCCAACCTCCACCCTTCTTCCTGTGCTCAAGGACCACAGGCAAACTCCCACAGCCTCGCTGGTGCAAATTTATTTCTTGAGAGACAAAAGGACAGTACTTGCTACCCTGCTTCTTGAGAGTCCAGCACTGAAAACCAAAGGTTTTAGTAAAATAAAGCAAAGCATTTTTCCAGGTAGCACTGCCAAAGTATCTACAATAACAGGAAAGGTTCTGGGTCCTGGTTGCCTTGCTTGACCTTTCGTTGCCTGCTGGCCTCAATCTCACTCTTATAACATATTACCAGTTCTCATTTCTGCTCAAGAAAGGGAAGAAAAGGCAGTAGAGTTTTTCTAAAAATACCATGCTACATTCACAGCTTATTTTACTTGACACTTGCCAAGTGTGTGTTTGTCACCTTTCATGGAAGAAAATCTCACTAAAAGGATGTTTTATACATCTAGTTAGTGGTAGATAAATATTTAGGAATGTTCTTAAAAAGTCAGGCTTATCAATGCATCATTGTCAGATCAGAAATCCAGTTCCCAGAACCTTCATTGGGACTGTTTGCACTAACATGCTTACATGGGTTATGGCACAAGTGCTCAGCACCTCCCATGCTGTGTTACCCAACTAGGGAACAAATTAAACAAATTCCGCTTCAGAAACGTGAAGTGGTTTTGTTTTAAAATTTAAATACATGTAATAAATTACTTCTAAGTTATCACTCATTCTATCAAAAGCAAAAATCACATATGAACTCTACTGAATAAGTCGGAATATAACTATTTTGGAATATTGCTTGCAGATCATCTGACAAATAGAAAAGCCACATATCTCTGACTCAACAAGTTGTGCAAGACAAGATGCTGCTGCTGTTAGTGATGCTAATTGATTTCAGTAGGGGCGGTATTGCAGTTGAGTTTACAAAGGCCTAAAATCCTATGGGCTGGATTCTGCTAACTTTGAGTCTTAAATCTGGTCTATTATGATTTGCCATAG